ACTCGCCCAACGAGGGCATCTTCCAAGCCACGCCAAAAGGCGGCTTCGGAAGCGAGTGCAGGTTGGTGCTGGTTTCATCGATCTTTCGGATCTGGTGCCCGCCGTTGTCGAGCCCCGTGCTCATACAAGGCGGGAAACTCCAAAGCCGGCGAGTAAAAGCGGCCGTACTCGCCGGCCCTGACCCCAGGTTGGCCGTTTATTTTACGTGCACGATTATCGCACAAACGCTAGGTACCTAGTGGATACAGGTGCCCAAGTTTCTGTCGTACCACGAGGTATCATCAAGTCACAAGCTACAATGCTTCGACTACGCGCTGCAAATGGCTCAGCAATTCCTACCTACGGTACACGACAACTCGCGGTCAACCTGGGCAACCGACGACGGTATCTGTGGACGTTCATCATTGCTGATGTTCCCATAGCCATACTAGGTATTGATTTCCTACAGCACTATGAATTGCTAGTCGATTCACGTAGGCTGCAGCTAATCGATACTTCGTCGAACAGCAAATTCATGGGCTTTAAAGCTCACACAAACGCGTACCGAATCCTCGAAACTTTTTATTCGCGTGACGATAAATTCCACGCCTTATTCGAGAAATTCCCCAGAATAACTAAACCACTCGAGGAGATTTCATCGGTGACCAATCGTGTGGTACACCACATAGTCACCCGCGGACCACCAGTCACGGCAAGACCACGCCGATTGGCATCGGACAAATTAGCTTTCGCTAAACGTGAGTTTGACAATTTACTATCTGCTGGTATTATTCGTCCTTCTCACAGTCCTTGGGCCTCTCCTTTACACATGGTGCGCAAAAAGGATGGGGTTAGTTGGAGACCTTGCGGCGACTACCGAGCATTAAACGTAGTTACGCGCTTTGATAGCTACCCCATCCCCCACATACACGACATCACGGCATCGCTCAAGGGCACGACTATCTTTTCTAAAATCGATCTGGTACGAGCATATCACCAGATCCCAGTCGCTCTTGAAGACATCGAGAAAACTGCTATCACGACTCCTTTCGGTCTGTTTGAGTTCCTACGAATGCCATTTGGATTACGAAATGCTGCTCAAACTTTCCAAATGTTTATCGATAGCATAGTACGAGACTTGGATTTTGTTCACGTCTATATTGATGACCTGCTGATCGCATCATCAAACGTAGATGAACATTATCAACACCTTACGCTATTATTCCAACGTCTTTCGGATAATGGAATAGTAGTCAACCCAGAGAAATGTGAGTTGGGTAAATCAGAAATAATATTTCTGGGTCACATCATCAAACAAGAGGGTATTCTGCCTTGCGAGGACAAAGTTCGAGCAATCAAGGAGTACAACGTGCCGTCCTCACTCAAGGAACTGAAGGCTTTTCTCGGTTTGGTTAACTTCTACCGACGTTTCATCCCTCACGCGGCAGAACGGTTACGACCATTAACCGATTTACTACGCGGTAATCCACGCAAATTAGAACTGAACGATACCGCACGTACTGCATTCTCAGAGATCAAAACGGCTCTCGCTGAAGTTACACTCCTCGCTCATCCTGACCCATCAGCCACGCTTAGTATAGCGGTTGATGCATCAGATTTCGCTATAGGAGCCGTTATGCAACAGAATATCTCCGGTAGTTGGCAAGCGCTTGAATTTTTCTCACGACGCCTTACTCCCACGGAGACGAGATATAGCGCTTTTGGTCGCGAACTGCTTGCAGCCTACTGTGCCATCAAACATTTCCGCCACGCAGTAGAAGGACGTCAATTCATCTTATTCACCGACCATAAGCCCTTAACGTATGCCCTGCATACCAAGTCTGACCGCTACTCACCACGAGAGTGCAGACATTTGGACTATATCTCACAGTTCACGACAGACCTTCGTCACATTAAAGGCGAGTCGAACTATGTTGACGATGCTCTTTCACGTATCCAGACGAATGCAGTTACTTTACCGGTGCTCGATCTTCCTGCTATGGCGGCCGCGCAAGCAAACGATCCTGTCTGTACAGAAGCACCACAATCTTCGTCACTTCAGTGTCAGGAAGTACCCCTAGCTACTAGCTCAGGTACTATCCTATGTGATATTTCTACCGGTCTACCTCGACCCATCGTACCCTCTACCTATCGCCGTCTCGTCTTCGATGCCCTTCATGGATTGTCTCATCCAGGTATCGCAGCCACATTACGCCTCATCGCTGCACGATACGTCTGGCCGTCCATGAATAAAGATGTTCGTATGTGGGTAAAGCAATGCTTACAGTGTCAACGATCAAAAGTGCACAGGCACGTAGCTGCCCCCATTGGCACGTTCGCTACGCCTGATGCTCGCTTTGATCACGTTCATATAGACATTGTAGGACCATTGCCACCATCGCATGGGTATGATCACATACTCACGTGCATTGACCGTTTTACAAGATGGCCCGAAGCTATTCCCATCACGTCTATCACGGCGGAGACAGTTGCTCACCGCTTCGTAGAACGATGGATAGCATTGTACGGTTGTCCCTCGACTGTCACGACTGACCGAGGACAACAATTTGAGTCCGCATTATTCTCCTCACTGACCCGCTGCTTGGTACGGAACGCATACGCACTACCGCCTACCATCCAGCATCGAATGGTTTAGTCGAACGGTTTCATCGCCAACTTAAAAGTGCTCTCCGAGCACACGAAAACGACAATTGGTACGAAACCTTACCGCTCGTTCTCTTAGGCATCAGAACGAGTTTGAAGGCAGATATTCAATGTTCCGCCGCTGAACTTGTATACGGCACGACATTGCGTCTGCCTGGGGAATTCTTCACACCACGGAGCAGTAATGATTTCGGTAAATCAGACTACGTCCATCGACTGTCTGCATTTATGCGAACGCTGTCTCCGGTGTCAACTCGAATACAACATCGACAGGTCGCTCTCCCTCGAGAGTTATCTACCTGTTCACATGTTTTCATACGAGTAGATTCGGTACGCAAACCTCTACAACAGCCTTACGAAGGCCCTTTTCACGTGATCTCTCGTCACGAAAAGACCTTCAAGGTTGATCGACACGGCCGCGTCGAGATCGTCAGCATTGATCGTCTCAAACCAGCACACGTCGATGACAGTGCCCTACTCGATAACTTGGGACTCAATGCTAGACCTATCAAACCTTCTAGCGGGATCTCTACGTCTACCTCGGATCCCACGCTAGATACATCAGAGACCTCGTTCTCACGTCCCGGTCAACAGCACGCGTCATCTGCACCATCTACGGACGAGACTTCCGTCTCACGTCCAGATCGGCAGACCACGCCGCCCTTGACCTCGGATGAGATCGCAGGCTCACGAAGTACGAACGAGACCACCGTCTCACGTTCCGGTCGCCGAGTACGATTACCCGTACGCTTTCGCGACTAAACGCACAGTCAATAACGCATACGGTGTAGGATTATTCCTATACTACACGCATGCTACACTTTTCTTTTTTTGTTTTTTCTGTATCCTGAGCCCACGCCCCCGACCATCGCCCGTTTGATAACGTCGACTTCAGTCAACTTTGGCAAAAGCTGGTTTGGCCACCCATGCTCTAGTCAACGCACTCAGTCGATTATCTGGTCTCGAATTCGCCTGGCATACGCTTGGTCGTTATGGTCGCTTCCGGGTTCTTGGCTCAACGTGGTTTCGTCCTACGTCTGCAGCGTTTTCTGGTTCACATCCCTACGAACGCAATCATCAGATTCTGGATACAAACCACTGTGGTGTGGTATGCTAATTCGACCAACAAATACAGCACACTTCTCCTGGTACCGTTCTGCGCAAAAGACCTTCGTTGGCAATTCGAGGATCAACGATCACTTCCTGTTCCGCCAACTTCCTTCGTCCTACAACCGCACTTCTGCCGATCAGTCCCACGAATCAAACCGCTAACTATCGAAAGTGTAAACCCTTTCTAGCGGGGGGCTCCTGTAGTGACTTACTTTTGTCAACAGAACGCGATTGGTTCGATGAAAACAATTATTATTATAACCAATTGTACCAGTGACTGTTTTACTGTGCTCGTTTGTTTAACTGTGCTAATAACAGCCATTACACTTACTCTCCCGTTGACTTCGAACTTGTACGAATCCGGTTACGCTCAGTAACCACGCTTGTACTCCTTTGGCACGATCTCGGTATTCTTTCGATACCACGAGATTGCCAACAAATATATACGACTACTACAATCATCTGCCTTCTGATATTTTGGCCTATCGGAATTTTATTGGTCTATTGGCAAGTAGTCTGGTAGCGGTGTTCATAGTTCAGCTCAACTCGACACCACGCTACACAGGTATACCCACTCGTGATCTGGTGCGAATGCGTGACCAAGAGCCTTTAGTTATATGTGTCCGGCAATATTAATGCGGTCAATATAATATGTCTAAGACCTAAAGAACAATTTATTTTGTGGATTTACTTACCGCCACACTTCCCTCGTTTCAAAAGGATAGGGATATATTCGGACAAGTTCAACGCGAGCCACTAAGTCAGTTCTAAGTCTCAAATTCAAGCCTTATGAAGGACACCTCAAATCACTGAAACTTTACCCATCAGAATAAATGCGTTCTAAAGATGACCTTATGATGACGTATAGCATCCTCAACACTTTTGGAAATCCCAATAAATACCTACTTAATCTATGTACCAACACAAACCTTGGGAGCAACATTCAGAAACTAGAGCCACAACATGGCAGAATGGACTTCAGGCACACCTTCTACCTCCTAAGAGTAGTCGGATGCTAAAATTTGCTGCCAGACGAGCTATTTCAAGTGACTTCACAGGAGTTTTTTAAGAGAAAACATGACATATTCTTAATGACTGAGGGCAGTATCTCTATTGTTTACTAATATCTTTATAGTTACCTTTATGGTTAGATATACCTAGGTTCCAGCCTGACAGCACCTGTGATCCACTGTTTCTAGAAACGGAAGCTTGTTAAGCGAAAGCTTCTTCTATTCTTTCTAGAGTCATTTGAACAATTTAAAAGCGCCTTATATGGTCTTGCGCTACCATGTGTACCTAACACTTACTAAGTAAAGTCGTTTGTTTGTATTTGATTACGTTTAGTTGAAGGAATTAGGTCACCCCTTAATGATGTGTTACCGTCCATTGTTTCATTGTAGTTGCTAGGTTTTCCAAATGTCCCAGCATAATGTAAAGTACTGCGAAACTACCTTACAACTATAACTATGAGCCGTTCATCCTCAGCCACATAGTTTTTAAGAGATTTTCTGTCATCATGTCTGTCTTCAATCTGTGAATTTCATACCGCATATAATATTGTGACTGTTGGGCTGAGTTAAGAAACGGCAGTCGACTGCCGATCGGTCTGTTTATAACATAGCGTCGTGATATGACGGGTCTCCTTGTCTTGGATTTATTCTCTCACTATAAATTCTTTGTTGAGTCCCTAAAAATCATGTAGCTTAGTAGTTCTAGGCATTGCCAGGGGCAGGTCAAAAAGATTCATAGCAATTGCAACCCATGGATTAATCCATGGGTTGCTTTTGAACTTATTTAATACATCTATTTTCTCAACCAAGATACATATCCTAATTGCGTGGTTTCTAAAACTGAACTGTACTTTTTATCGAACGCTAGTTTCGTTCATTCATTACTCGAACTTTTCTGTTTTCTCACAACACTCACCACATTGTACATACATTTTTTCGGCACATTTGTATCGAAATGTTTATGTTGTGAAAGAAATGTTTCAGTTATTGAGCGAAAATCCTGCTTGTTTAAAAACTGGTTTTGTCTCACCATATTTTCTATATACAGAAAACTTTGCGGCTTTTTTATCAAGCAATGAAAGTAGTCTTAGTTTTTATTGGTATTCAACTTTTCTGACCACAGCAATTTTTATCGTTTTATTTTAATGCCTTAGAGTGTTATGCAGTCTACTAAAGTTAAATTTGTACATTGATAATGTTTCATTCTTTACCCTATTTACAGGTTATACCTTTGCTCCATAAATGAAACTTGTCAATTTGAAGTCCATTCCATTGATATGAATCGAAAACGTTTTGCATAGTCAGTAAAGTATGATGACAAAGAAGAAAAGTAGTTCATCGGTTATCCTTGAACTGAAAGAATTAGTTGATTATATCAATAACACTATTCCTGATGTCCCAGGAAAACAACGTCTAGTTAGAATGTGTCAAAAAGAGATGACCCATTTTGAGTCGGTAAGTCCTTTTGTTGTTATTTTAAATACATATCTTGTAGTAATATCATGAACAGGGGTGATGTGTCATTAATTTACACTTGATGTCGCCTATTTTTTATTTACTTGGTTCTTTAACGAGATTTTCGCAGTCGCGAAACAATAACTAGGATAGATATCCCTGTCTTCTTGCATCCTCCGATCAAGCTGAAATCAAGACACTCAAGTTATTCCATTGTCAATCAGTCGAACTTGTTAGACTCATCGTGATGTTAGGAGATTCGTATGTAAATTCTATTAAAGCTAAGAAAAATCAGGGAATAAAATTTTATTTTCAACAAAATCGCTTAAGCCTCACACTTGCATTTATATTTGTTCAATAAATATACAATTAGCAGATGCAGCAGCTGCTTCCAAATCATTGGCGTGCTCCGACCACCAGAATTCTCAGTCCTTACGCAAGCTTTGTCCAACTTCATTACGTAAGTCTTCCTTAGTAGTCAAACTTGCGGTCATCTTGAGTAGACCGACGGGCTTCGACCAGTTGTAAGGAGCCTGAGGAAACCCAGTGCTTATATGCAGGACGTTTTGTGAGGCTACAAGCGACTTTACCCGCCGCTTTCCTAGCGTCATGCAATTGCAACCAGTGCTCATCTACACTTTTTGATGGGATGGTAGCTAACCCTGAACTTTGCCTCGGTTTGATATTTAGTTGCAATAGAAGCTGCAACCAATTTGTTGATATCAATCAATTTAGGACGACGAGTTTGTCGGCCACTGAAACGTAAGGTAAGATTAGCGCAAACAAGGGCATGATCAAAGTTCAGATCAGTACTCCAAAAGTAGCAGCAGTCTTGTACACAACCACGCCAGCGGTAGCTGACCGCGATGTGATCAATCTGAGTCCAGGCTTGAGATGCAAAAGTAGGACACCAGGTGGCACGTTGGCGATGACTGTGCAGAAAGTTAGTGCTATCCAGAAACAGGTTGTGGTTCGCGCACAGTCTCAGTAAACCTGCGACCAACAAGCCCCCATCTACCACTTAAACAACTCTCCTGTGCTTAGACGCCTGACCTGAGCATTTAAGTCTCCAGCTAGTACTACAATACCAGTCGAACGCATTTTGTGTAGAAGGACTGGTAACTGGTGGTAAGGCCCATCATTGATCGCATCCGGGCTGCAATCTGTTATAACACAGGTGGAGATGACAAAAAGACACCGATTTCTCCGCACTTTGATGGAACTTTCTAATCCAACAGCACATAACTGACTGTTAATAGGGACTCAATTGGTCAGTGCTGTCTCAGCCCTAGCGCTTAGTGCGACACCAGTAAAACCAGACGAAGATGACACAGGGTCCCCGGATAAACGCACGTAAAACAAGCTTTTCGAAGCGACGGATGGAATAACAATTTGTAGTACATCACCAGAGTTTTGAATACGGGTCTCGGATAGACAACAGACGTCGATATTAAGACTTTCTAAAGACATAGCCAACTCTATCTGTTGTCCAATCTGCATTAGTATACAAATGTTGAAGGAAGCCAGTTTGAATGGTATACGTGGTTTCAGAAAGACTCAGTATTCGTATTCGGTGGTAGCATTCAACTTTCGTTCAGTCCGTGACTCGGGACCGTTTAGATAGGACAGGGTTTCCACCATAGGCGAGCTGCTGTGTAAGTTGAAAAATAAGAATACACAGTGAGAATAGAAGAAAGCAGATGAGTGACGTAGTATATAATATAGAAATAAATGTGATATGTCTGAATGTTAATTGAAGCAAGAATAATATTTCCAGTAGTAAGTGTCGTTTGATTTGTGTGTGGGCTGTGATACTGTCTTGGGTGCCTAAACCGAAGCAGGTGGTTTTCTTAGGGAGGACACACCCAGAATCTCCTACTTAAAAGTCTGATCCACAAGGTACTGGAGCAACGTTAGGAGATGCAATCCTATGGTATCTGGTGATCAACAATAGGTTCACACGCCATTTGTTCCCTCAGGATCCTGGAGACTATCTACCCGATTGCTTTGGAACCAGGGTTTTTCAACTCTCCTAGGTGGATCCTCCGTGTCCATCAACCCGGTTAAAGCGTCTGACATTCGCTTTTCGTCCTCACTTCGAGAAGGCAGTGAATAGGACTTCCCTGACAGTGGTTGTATACGCGTGGCCATGTAAGTACATTTTGAGAGAGAGAGAGAGCGGACTCTTCTCACCCTTGGCCTTGCCAGGGCATGTGGGAGCATAACTCACGGAAGTTGGCTCTTAAACTATTATCGAGTTTGAAAAGAGTGTGAAAAGAATATGTCACACATATGTAACATATTTCATGTTTGTCAATTGTTAGTTGAGACTTCAGGATTGATTTATGGTAATATTCAGTCTAAGAATAGTGAGTAAATATTAGTTCTCTACACTCATTTGGAGATTTATATCGTTCTAAATGGATTGTTAATCATTTATTTCTCTTAAATCTCAGTCAAAAAAGGAAACAATTATCAGTAGGGGATATTTTCACTCTCACTAATGATTATGAAAATCATACTTTTTGAACAAGGTGGTGGCTATCTAAACTCAATTATGTTGTGAATAAGGGGTTAGGTGTTAACGTGAAAGTTACTGGATTCAAATCTCTATGTGGACATCGACACTGGTGCAGGCGTGTTGATTGATTGATTGGTTTTAACATATAGGTATTAGTACAAGGAGGCACTGTGATACTGCCCGGGTGCCCAAACCCAAGCAGGTGGTTTTCTTAGGGGGCCACACCCCGAGCCTTCGACCTGAACGTCTGACCCACAAGGCAGTGGAGAATCGTAAGAAGATGCAATCCCATGGTAGCCAGTGACCAACGATTGGTTCATACGCCATTTGTTCCTTCAGGATACTGGAGCCCATGTGCACCATTGATTTGGGATCCGGTTAAAGCGCCGGACATTCGCTTTTCGTAGACAAACACCCCCGCCACGAGAAGGCAGTGAGTAGGACTTCCCTGGAAGAGGCTATATACGCGTGGCCATTTGAGAGCATTTCCAGAGGGAGAGCGGACACTCCACTCTCGGCCGTACCAGGGCATTTGGGGGCGGTGCAGGCGTATTCAGTTGACAAATCCTATATAGGATAGAACAGTAGTTTAGGTTTCACTACTAATCATAATCTATCTATTTTGATAAAAGAAATGATGATTTTACGTATTGTTTATGCGTTACCAAATCTTATAGGTTGACTAGTTCTTGTAATGTACGTTTACATGACTTGTAGATTATTCTCATAAAACATGCATTCTGTACGTACTTGGATGTTTTTTACTGTTTGTCCTTTTTACTAAAATTAAATCTCCAAAAATCTGTTTATATTAGCTGCCGTCTGACTTAGCCGACGATTCAGCTGTTTGTTCCAATTTGCCATATTTCAAAGCGATAACAACAATCGCCAATTCTTATGGTAATCGTCTTGTGGATTTATTATGTCGTTATCGTCTACCGTTGGAATCAACTGTCAACAGTAGTAATCATGTACAGCAGTTTGATGATGATGATGATGATAGTAATCATAGTAATGGTGTCAGTTCTCTTAATGCGATTCATTCAAATAGTAATGATTATTTATTACGGTGCGAGAAACAAGGTGAAATTATTATCATGCTGATTTTTTTTATATTTGGTATTATATACTTGGTTTTATTGTTCAAAACGATATAGAATTGTAACAATAGCGGTTTTCCATTGATTTCTTTATTTTTTCACCTTAATATACATGATTGTGTAATAAAGAAATAGATTTGCAGCTCAAATTAATCATTCAGACACAACGTAGGACCTTGGGATATATGTGCATTGGTTCAATCTGACACATTCCCTTATTAAGTCACCTATCAACGTAGTAATTATAGTAACATTATCAATGGTAATAAAAAAATAGAGATAGAAGATATGGATGGAAAAGTAAAGAAGTTTCATAAGGTAATTAAAAAATTTGGGATTTAAGAGAGGACAACTGGTAGATTCACCTGGGTCATTGCAGACGATTCTAAGCTATGCGTTCAAAAGTCTCTAACCACTGGTTGCTACAATCATGCGACCTCCTACCAAATGGTATGCGCCTACCTACATGGCTCTGTCCAATTGTTTGTAACTTCATAGGCTGATGTCAAGTTTTGGTTCGGTCGCCTTTAGCTTTCTTACAACCTACTCCTACACTAACAAGCATCTCGCGTCGAGGTAGTTGGTGGTTGTGCATACGCAATACATGCCCCAACCATCTCAGTCGATAAAGCTCAAGTGGATGCTGTTAGTGTTGTAAAGTTTTCTGAGTTTGGTGGTTTCATTAGACGAAGTTTTCATTGTCATCCTATGTGAAAAAAATCAACTCAAAGAAATCAATAGCGTAATAAGTGTGGTTATGTTTATGTGCGCATATTCGAGACAATAAATCAGTCACAACAAATCGTAATTCAATGTCATAGTAATATAGATGACGTCGGGTTTTTTTAAAAAAAAAATAGAGGTTATGCATTTAAAGTATGATGACAGGTCTAGTAGTGACAGACAATGACATGATTAAATGGACAAATATTTTTGTTACGACTTCTAGCCTTGTGCCCTATTAATATATAACTTAATGATACCGCCAATTAGAGGACAGTGATTTATCGACCGGACCAATGACATATAAACCCGTAGGGCAGTCTAGATTCCTTATAGGTTTTTCTTCCTGCCTAGCGCTACCTGCTGAGTCCAGAACACAAAATTAGCCTTCGCCACATGAATCATATATTTCAAACATACTGGATTTATATACATGCCAAACAAACCATATCACACCATATAATAGGAAATAACATTTGTACGAGATCAAACAAAAAAATGTCTGTGATTGTGGGAAACTGCAATTAACAAACTGGGCATAAATTAAGAATGGTAAATCGTATAATAATAGTCTGTGGGCCAAAATAAAGCTCATAATAAGAGAAACATGGATATGCATAGTTTAGTTACTTAACAATATATATATATATATATATATATATATATATATATATATATACATATATATATATATATATATATATATATATATATATAGATAGATAGATAGATAGATAGATAGATAGATAGATAGTATTGTTCAACAAATGGATTCCAGCAGTTACCATTCATTATTCTTATCGGCATATAACAATTTTAACATAGGAAGTATACTCGATTCTTTGTATGATGTGACACGCTCACACCTCTGAGTTGTCTCTTACTAGGCTGAAACAGCTGTTCAATAGTTGTTAACAACTGGTGAGATCGTTTATCATGTCTTTTATGATCTGGAAAAAGAAAATTATAATGAATGTTTTTTCATTACAAATGCTAAGGACTGTCGGCTTAAATTTTTATAGCTTGCCCAGAATGTAAGCAAAGTAATCTAATCCTGTTAGAAAAATGTGGAAAACTACTATTAATGGCCCTGAATGTTTCAGTCCTATCTATCATATGATCACTATCGACAAAATGTGATAAAATGGATTTGGGTATACCTGTAATCTTGAGGGGACTGACGCTTTCTGGTAGATCTGATCTTGTATCATCCACCTTCATAGTCTGAAGTGTTAAGAGTGAATCATTCTGGTTGTATCTGATCTTGAATTATTTAGACTAGTGGTCACTTTGTAGCGTGATCGATATAATTCGATCAACATCAGAGAAGAACTAGGGAAACTTGACATTTTTCACAATAGTGAATAATGGCTAAATATGGTCTATATATCTAAAATACGCCAGATATAGTTATTTTCACAGAAACAACTGGACTGGTAAGTTGGTAAAGCTAGATAGCTTAACTTTTATCTCAGCAGGCACTGTCGGTTAACCAGAAAGTGGTAATCAGAATAACTGGCCTCGTAAAGTAGTGCTTTTACGATGACTTGTCTATTGCATAGGTCATCGATATGTTTATTTTCCTTGTCTTAATTTCACACAGTGGAGATTTTCAATATTTGTGAGTACTTATTAAAATGAATTTAATTCAAGTATTTATTCAGGTAACTACATATTGATGTTCTCTGAAAGGGGAGTGTACCGTGTGGTAATTTACCCTTGTCCAACTGGAGAATATTTTTTATATAAGGTTAAAGATATACTTCGGTTGTATGTATTGAATTATGCATGTAAGATTGCTTTTTAACGTATGGTTCACAGTATTTCTCTTTTTCGATGTATTACGATCATAAGTAAATACAATGGCGAGGCTAGTCACGTTCTGATGGTATCTCATTAGATGTCATTTGTCCTCATAATGGATTCATTTCTGGTGAAATCCCTAGTGAATGTGACAAGTATATTCTAAATGAGTCAAATTCTAGCCACATTTCTGATGTGATTGTATCAAATGTTGAATATTCTCACAAACTATGTATGTCGAGTAGAATCCCCAGTCAATGGCATGATGAGCCAAAAGGCATACCAAATTTGTTCAAAGCAGTCAGAGAATCAGTTTGTCCAGATGTAAAATTTTCACAGGCAGAAAATTTAAACTGAATCCAAAATTATCTCAATGAGTGTGAGGCAAATGCGTATGTTCCATTTGATTGTCTTGAAGGTGAATCAAGCCTTGATAAGTCACGTGTTACACAGATCGATGTTCAAAGTGCGTATTCATATTATAACTGGAACAATGGTCTTAGGTTTTCTAATGTTAAAGGCAAGAAGAACATGCATAAAACTTTCACACTGGTCAGAACCACGTGGTGGGAAAGCCTCAAATTATATGTCTCTGTGTATACCCAAATGCTCACATGCAATCGAAGTGTGAGATATGAAAACATAATTCAAATTGGGGCCGTCGAAATTCTTATAACATTGAAATATAAGGATCCTACATTAATTCATGAGGGAAGAGATAATACATGCAAGTCAGGGTAGATGTTTAGTGTCATAAGGCTGATCCAATCTTTACAAACGAATGTGAGACAAGAACAACCCAGAAACCTAGAGTGGAGGATGATGTATGGTAGGGAGAGTGGAATGTTATTGGTCATTGAGCATGGACAAAAAGGCATAGCCTACTGACAATAAAGTATGGATTTCCTCCTCTTTTATTGATTTTTACTCCCGACTCAGAGTAACTGATTGTAACTGCGTTGAATAAAGTATCATCTAGTGCTAATCTGGCTCTCTGTTCTGGGTTGTGGATCCTAGATCTGATATCTGTTTTGTGTACGTTCATGTATCGAATGTAGCTTAGCATAGTATACTGCGAAGAGAGAAGAATATTTTCGAATCATCCGTTATATCACTTTTTTATTGATTGACTGATTTATCATGTACTTAGCTTTGAACCTCACTTCTGGTGTGAGGGCTGGTAATACTACTCGGTTGCCCAGACCGAAGTAGGTGCAGCGGGTATCGAACCTGAGTTTTAGTAATTTAATGGCAAGTGACCTTATCATTAGGCTTTTTTTATACGATAGGACTGGCAAGTAAACAACACTTACGTTAAATTTATACTATTACTTCATTTACCTCCCGTGAAACGTAGGCCGCCGACCAGCATTGTACTACTAACTATTTTCTGGGTTTCCTTTCCAGTGGTTGGTAAATCTTGTTCATTCTTTTGATGTCTGGTTCAGATTTCCGGCTGAATGTGTTCTTTCTTCTTCTGCCTTGAGGATTTCGGTCTGGGTTGGATGATTTCCACAATATGTGTACCATCCACCTCCAAAGGCTTTTCCTAATTTCCTATTCAGCTGGAATATGTTTTGTTCCATACCACAGTAGCTTGTTGCTGATGTTGTCTGGCCGACGAATCTGGAGTATCTTTCCTAGAAAACTGTTTGTAAATAGTATTGTTAGTTATTAAACTTAACAAAATCGGTTGTTACACTCTTATACTCTAATATCTTTCTCCTTTCATTTATTTCCTCATGTTTCTGCGAGCCGATATGTGCCAAATTAAGCTTATAACAGTCAGTCGAACACACTTGTGTGTTAGGTTCTACACGATTTAAGTCTATTTTATGTATTTGTAATGTCATACATTCATCCTTATGCGTCGTTAATATGTATCAGGATACATCTATTATGCCAGTCGGTGTTGATATTATTTAATTAGACCTAATGTCATTATATAAATACAATAGCTAGCTTACTGCTCAGTGAACAATATCATTATGATAATTTGATCTTATTTCTTCAAATGATATTTTCTAGACTCTCTGCTCGTTGATTTAATATGTACACAATCAGATGAAGGTATCGATGATTTTTCAAGATCTAGAACTTGTTATGGTAATGCAGCTGAAGCTAGTCTATGGGCTCCTGCTTTGTGGATTAAAGTTGTGACTCGTGATTCATCTCGTCTTAATAATGCTTGGCGAGGTAATGTGTATTTGTTTTGTTAATTCTTTATTTTGAATTTATTTTTTTGCGGTAGCACGTAAGTGAGTAATTTTTGATGCATTTTTATTCATTCAGTCTGAAAACTTAGATTACAGTTACAGAGTAATGCAATATAACAGGGAAGTGTTCCGGTAGTCGTAACAAGTAGTAGCAATGGATCAGTCGATACTGCCAAGTTGTATCTCCTCATTTCCATAGCTATTTGACAGGTCCTCCCGGTCTCCTACATTGTACGGACATTCCATGTACCTATATTAATTGTTTCTCTGGTTGTTAGAAGGGGTATCAGCCTCGTGACTTCCTAAGAATCTCAGTCTTCATCATGAGGCGTCATAATTTTTATGAATGAATATCGTTGAAATCGGAAGGCAGAGTTTAATAGGTTCAAGTAGTTTATTGTGGTTAGCGTTTGTTTGGCAAGGTTGTTTTGTACGAGATGGAGTTTGTTGACCCCATGCTCAACCCTCCTTTACTTGAGATTGGGACCTGCAGTAACTCGAGAAGAGCTACAGGCGGAGTTACTCTTCATACACAATTGTAAAACATGGTTGATCATGGTAAAGCGAGCCTTTAGTGTTGATATGTGATTACTGATTTTCGACTATTGCAGTCTCCTAATTTTGTATAATGACAGTATAAAGTGATTATTGCCCCCAAATGCCCTGGTACGGCCGAGAGTGGGGAGAGTCCGCTCTCCCTCTCAAAATGCTCACACATGGCCACGCGTATACAGCCTCTGCCAGGGAAGTCCTACTCACTGCCTTCACGTGGCGGGGGTGTTGTTTACGAAAATGAGAGGACGAAAAGCGAATGTCCGGCGCTTTAACCGGACTCCAAACCAATGGTGCACATGGGCTCCAGTATCCTGAAGGAACAAATGGCGTATGAACCAATCGTTGGTCACCGGCTACCATGGGACTGCATCTCCTCACGATGCTCCACTGCCTTGTGGGTCAGACGTTCAGGTCGAAGGCTCGGGGTGTGGCCCCCTAAGAAAACCACCTGCTTGGGTTTGGGCACCCGGGCAGTATCACAGCCCTCACACATATCAAATGAGATATGTGTGGCGCATATGTATTTGGTGCCTCCTTGCACCAATATCTATGTGTTGAAATGAAATGAAATGAAAAGTGATTATTGGTGATGTTATGGAACAAATTTTTGAATTAACCGATTTTTACTGGTCTGGATGGTTTAATTGTTAAGCTTTTATTACTGTTTTGAACGACAACATCATGAGCACCTACTTTATATTCTACTACATTCTATTCCATATGATCAATCTAATAATTATGTAGTTTTGTCAAGTAATATACACCAGGCGGTATGTTTATGTACGCTTTCTTATTTCGAGCATTAAAGACATCAACCTAGTATCTCACAGATAAGAGTATTCTTTCAAGCTGTCACATTTCTCACCGAGACGAAACGAGGAAAGACGTATTCGAAAGCTACTAAGCGTTAGCTTTATGGTTAAGATGGTCAACTTTCAGCTACTAAGTCTTTGGTCAGGACTCCGCTCCACCTATTTAAGTTTGGATAACCGGTTAATGTCATTAGCCTTCACTCTTAGAGTGTTACGGGTCATATTCACGTAGACGGTAAATGAGTTTTAACAAGATATACTATTACTCTAAGTATTTTCCTAGCTTAATTGTGCCTAAGAGATCACCTTTCATCGGAGTCAGTAGTGACCACTGGATCAGGTGTTATAAATGCGCTGCTACCTTGGTGAGTGTAAATCTACATCTTCACCGACTGAGCTGACTGTCTGGTCCTGAACCTTATATCTAGTCTCCATTACACTAGTGGATAGTTCCACTACACATAAAGGTGCTTTGTAAATACATGATCATATGCATGTAATTGGTAAATATCTAAAACAACACAGAACTCGGGATTACTACATATACGTTATGTATGAATTTCAGTTTTTTTAAAATATGTTTCAATTCACGCCATTGGACTATAGATTAAAACGTCTTTCCTTTAACTGTGGGTTCGAAATCAATAGATGTCACTTATAATGTAGTGCATGCCTTTGCATGTGAGTTCCGTTGATTTTTTCGTCAGTCATACTTAAAATGAATTTATTGGACAATATGGTCTATTATTTACATATGTTCAAGTGCTTCTAATATAAACGTTTCTTGGTATTTGTTGTTTCTATCAATTAACTTTCGTTCGTATGGATATAGGCTTTGAGTTGTGTTTAGTTTTATGATTAAGATGAAGAATTTAGGGTTGGGGTTCATAGGGGCTAACCGTAAAACTGAATCTAAATCTTAAATCATAACCCTAAGTCACAACTCTTAGTCCTAAACTTTTGTTTTAACGGTATCCCCAAGTTTTATATTCTTGCCATAAATCTTAAATTCTGCATACTAGTTTAGACACTAGCTGTAAACTCTAGATCATAGTCATAAATCCTGAACTGTAATCCTTATTTCCAATCCTAGCACTATCAATTATTTATCCATAGTTTCTGTTTTCTGGTCGGCTGAATAAAGTCGAGAGTTTGTCAGTCATTTCAATAATCTTTCAAGCTCGTTTTAATGGTTTAGTTCTAACCATTTTTATTAAAATTTCTCACGTTCATATAGGTGAAGCTTCTTCAAAACATGTCGCTTGTTTAGGACGTCAAGCGGAAGAATTAATCCTAGCATCTCACTGGTATCAACGAGGTCAACCTCAATATTGGATTCGTGTAATTGTACATTGGCTACCACATGGATCTTTCTGTACTGAAATCAATGATATAGATTCAGATTTACGTGAATATCTTCAGAACATTGGTGTGACATTACTTACTGGTTCCGATCCATGGATTAATAACTGTGATATTCCTGCTATAATTTTTCAAAGTCCAAAATATACTATATCCCTTAGAAATTTAATCTTACCTGTATATAAATTCAAGAAATTTTTAAATAGTATTACTGAATACCATAATACGTCCGGTGGTTTCAAACAATTTAAATTTGAAGCTATAGAAAAGATACTGTCATTGTTGAATAGATTGTCCAAAACAGTTAATCACGAAGAACAGATAGCCAGTATTCTTACTGATGAAATGTTATTGTTTGATGTGGATGATTCATCGAATTCCTTCAAAATTACTTATCCAATGGATGCAGTTTTACAGAAATGTGCATTATGGCCATTTCTACTAGATTCTTATAGTCGGTAAGTGTTTTTTCTTGAAGATGTTAAATTGGATGTTGAAATGATTTTAACGGAAAAAACAAAATGGAGACGGTTCAACAAAGAAGAGTTTTTTTATGTGACCAATACTTATATTCTGTATAGAAATAAGTTAAATAGTGGATGCATATTCAAGTGACTTCAAGCAGTAATTTATCGTCTAAATATCCTTGGATCAGACATCTACAGTCATTCATACGCAATGTAGAACCTGACACGTGTACACCCATTCAAGTTACCTTACCCTATTGTAATGAATGAAGAATTGGTGGGGAAAGACAATTTTTTGTTTAATAATTAAAATAACCCATAGTGTCATTGAATAAGAAGAAGGGAATTCAGCGAAGAAAATTTTGTTTTCGACGAAATCATTTACTTAAGCTGTACATTCGTAATGCAAAATTACAGAGTGCCTTTGTAAAATATGAAAACCACATATTAAGTACATCATTTGTATATCTCCAGTCAGTTGTCCTTTGCATACTTCATGGATTCTTCCAATTCTGTTGTCACTCCAATTGCTCTCTGCTCCTCTCCCTGTTCTCTTCAATTCATTCTTCTTTTGGAATGCATTCCACTTCTGATTTCTACTACATACTACTTATATCTGTTGGTGGAAGTAGCATACACCACACTATTAGCACAGGAAGATGAAATCGTCAGTTCAAATCCAAGATTATTAGAGACAGTAACAGTATCAGTGGTAATAGAAAAGAGTAGGCATAAAACACATGATTGGATTGGTACATAGAAATTTTCTGATTAAAATATTTGCGATTTAAAGGAGGACGGGCTGAATTCATCTGCGTTATTGCGAATGATTCCGAGCTATATCATTCAGTGTCTAACCATTGGTTACAATAATCATGCATTTGTGGTAAAATTCAGTTCGTAGTTGAGCTGAATGGAGCGATTCTTTTCATTGATTTAGACAGTCAGTTTTTCAGAATCTTCCAAGCCATATGCCTTTTGCACTCGTTTGTATTCAACAGCAGGGTCTTTTTTGGTACCAAAGTCGTATTCTAGAATACTGTCTCAAGGAACTACTTTTACATTGTATCCTCATTGTTCAATTCAGACCTAACGGTGAGTTCTACAGACAAATGGATAGTGTTAAGATTAGGTTTCCACTGGATCCTCTAGCTTAGGAGACTTTCACATCTAACCTAGATACTATTGCAGTAAACGAGATCACAGGACAGCCAAATGTATTTTGATGCAACATTACAGAATATCTTGGTAAAATCTGAGAACCACACAGTAATACTTCATTTGCAAAATATCCATCAATTGTCTCAGACTTTTTTGTTCCTTTGTTTTCTGTTCTCGTTCTCTTCGATCTCCTCAATTTTCTGTTATCAAGCTTTCCACTTTCGATTAGTAATACATACTACTTATATCTGTCGATATCAGTATCATATACTCCGCACTATTATTAATGCTTTTCATTTATACAGGAGGTATTTGAATGATAACCGCATTATTTATGACGAGAATAGTGATATTAATAAAATCCTACATATTCAGTGAGTTTCACCAGAAGATGATATTCAAAATGAAGTTGGAGGTAAATGCTGATGCTTCACTAAAAAGTCAAGGAGTCTACACGAAATATATCATTGACAAAAACCTAGGAAGAGACAAATGAATACTTATCGGTGACTAACTTTCCTCTTAGGTATATTCACAGTAACTTTAATCCCAATCATTAATTTAACAAAATCATGATTTATATCATTACAGCGTAGCCTTAAGGTTGTTCAGTAATAATTACATGATGTTTCCTTTTGGATTTAATCTATATGACTTGTCGTTTTATTAGTGAAAATAGTAAAATTTGACCTATTTGAGGCTTTTTGGTAATGATATTCAATTATTCAAAAATGTCTATACAATTTAGTTGATACCATAAATTTACACTCGATTAATAAATCTCTTATGTAAAACATAAATACACAATGATCGACACCTACTAAATTTCGTTTTAGGCGACTTCGGTAGTAGTAACCCTTATACTTAAAGTGTATCTCAGAGCTCCGAGTACACGAATCTGTACTTGATGAATAGTTGCATCACTTGAACGTATATTTATCGTTGTTGACTTGTATTTGTTTCACTCTAGGTTGTAGATAGTGTGTAGTTGAGCATCAACTCTGAAATGTGGCAGATACATCTAACTGACTAATTCTAAGTAGAATGAAACGCAAATCCTCGATTCCAATGCTAACCATATTTCTTCTATTGTATTTAAATTTATTTTCGTTTTTTTAGTGTAGATGAAGTGAATCGTATAAATTTGGATGTTTCAGCTTTAATTGCTTTTGTCTCTGAACTGTCTCAATTCAATCCAACATATTCTCCCACTGATCAATTGGTGTCAATCGACAATAATGATAATCATGCCGAAGTTGTATCTGATAAAATTCTCGAATGTTTACAATCAGTAGAAAGACGTACACAATTACTATTGAATCATCCTCCACTGAAACCAGGAAAATTCGAATGGTTAATAGAATCTGAAGCTGAAGTACCAGTACTTCTATCGATGGATAAATATCTTCGAGGTATTGTGTGATCAATTTATTATTGTGGTTAAATTCATTACTAGCTATATTTCTGTGATCAATCCGTGACGTAAACTATGAAATTCAACAATTTTCACAAGCCCTTTATAGCAATAATAATCATATGATTTACTATTGAGTAATTTCAATAGATAATTGCCGAAGTCCTAGTGAGAAGCCTTGAGTGTGATCATACTCAGTGTAATGTACTTACCCATTGACGGCATTCGAAGATAATCGAGTAATATCATGCATTGATGCAAAGAAATAATGAAATATTTACATTGTAAAGACGAGTAATGTCTACAACTTGGTAGTAGTGGTATTTAAACGCTCACTGGATATCTAATGCTGATTAAGTCTGGTTTTCGTTCATTACTGAACGATAGAAACAACTGAAAACTAATCACATCAAACGTAAGGATATTAGAGCCCTGGTACGGCCGAGAGTGGGGAGAGTCCGCTCTCCCTCGAAAAATGCTCTCACATGGCCACGCATACATAGCCCCTGCCGGGGAAGTCCTACTCACTGCCTTCACGTGGCGGGGGTGTTGTTTACGAAAATGAGAGGACGAAAAGCGAATGTCCGGCGCTTTAACCGGACTCCAAACCAATGGTGCACATGGGCTCCAGTATCCTGAAGGAACAAATGGCGTATGAACCAATCGTTGGTCACCGGCTACCATGGGACTGCATCTCCTCACGATGCTCCACTGCCTTGTGGGTCAGACGTTCAGGTCGAAGGCTCGGGGTGTGGTCCCCTAAGAAAACCACCTGCTTGGGTTTGGGCACCCGGGCAGTATCACAGTCCTCACACAAATCAATTGAGATTCGTGTGGCGCATATGTACTTGGTGCCTCCTTGTACCAATACCTATGTGTTAAAATAAATAAATAAGTGCATTTCTTAACATTCAACAACTGTTTCACCTATTTTAACTTGGCTTCTTCATCAACAAAGCATCAAGTTTATGTATTCTTTGGTTGTTGTTTATGTAATTTATGGTGACTAACTAGGGTGCATGTAAATGTTGGACATTTGTTTTTTTGTCTGAATAACGTATATTAAGCCTAATCAAATCAATCAGTTTTAAGATGTAATGATGTAAATTAAAAAAGTACTGTATTTCAATATTACAGTGTCAGTGTATTTTTTGTTTAGACTCTTAAACAGTTGCATTGAACTGATAATCTGAAATACACTTCAATCTAATACTGTTACTCTACAGTTTAATCGTTTAACTTATAAAGTGCAGCATCAAAGTTCACCCACCGGAGTTGCATATACTTTCTCTTGATAGTTTCAATGAACACTTGATTGTTAACATGTTAGCCATTGTAATGAATATTGTGAAGGAACTCTACGTTGCTGAATACTCTATGACCATATTAAAATCCATATCTGACTCGTCTAATTTGGGCACAGCCATACTGTTATACTAATTATAGTACGTGACATTCATTTATAATATATGAATGGGTACTTGTTTTACCGTTCAACTGAGTCGTAAATGTAGGTTTAAACTAGCTGGTTGAGGTCCACCTGATTATGGGGACCAATGGTTGGAAAGGTTGCGTGATGTGGCTCGGCATCGGCCACTATGATCCAGTTCCATTTACTATTTATCTTCCTTTACATCTTCAGTTTGAAAATTGCTTCATACCTTTTGTTTCGCAAAGTCATTTTTTTCACCTGGAATCAAATTGTCTATATCTAGTCTTTTCTACTACTATTGATGCTACCACTACTCCGGTATGTCTTGATAATTTCACCAGGCTTTGTGTTAATACTATATAATAAATTGAATTGATCCATATATACGCGAAGCTTTTGTTACGACCTTGACCCGCTTTCCAATTAGTCCGTGCCTAATATACTGTAAGAAAGAGAGCTATCTTAATATAGCTTGCGGCCTTGATGTGATAGGTTACTCAGGGTAACCTTGAGGATAAAGAGAAGAAACCGTCCTACCATTGATCTATGATTTGATTGATCGGGATGCGAATAGAGAATACGATCTAGTTGGAACTGTTTATGTGATTTGTCCTGATTCAGTTAACTGAAAGAAGGTGCATGAATTTATGACCAACGAGACCGTAGGGATAAGTAATAAAAAAACCATTGTATCTAAACTAGAACATTAGAGTAGAAAGAATAAAATACAATGGTCACTTTCAGACAACAGTAATTTTGAAGTAGAAAATGATATGACAGTAATCCATACACTAAACAAGTGTCCATTCGGATTTAATAGGTAAGTACCGGGTTCGAGTCCCGGAGTGAATATCAACTCTGGGATGCCGGTATATCTAGCTGCCGAGACCCAAATAAGATGAAACGCACATCCTAGATTCCACTGCTAACCACATCCTGTCTATTTTATATCAACTTGTGTTATAATGGCTATATCAAGGCGATCTGTACAAGATGCACATATACCAACCAAGACTGATCAAATTTCAGTCAGAAATATCAACAAAAGGATAGTTCAAAAACCATTTGAAATTGAATTACACTCAATGAAAGCTTTTAATTTGTAGATTAGAACAAGCACAGAACTTAATACTACTACTTTGCAAATATTGATTTACATGAAATACTGTCCCTCCCTCCAAAAATAGCTTTCTTTGTTTGTCATTGCATCTTTGTTTTTTTCATTTTTTCATATTAGTTCTACATTGTTTATGATTGTTTAACTAACTCACTGTGTATGCTTGCATAAATACTTCATAAATAAAGAACTATATAGATGGAATTAACAATTGGTTATAAGTGTTGTTTTTATGATTTCCTGTGATACATGTACTTGCATTCATATAATTCAATCACATTACCTAACTGCTACGATTTCTCTTATCACGACTCAGCTACTGTTATTGCTTAATATTTCTTGGATATCGCTTGACTCGACAAGTCCCAAAATCAAAACATGGTTGAACAGGAACGTAATTATATTACAAATAACAAGGGTGGATGGAAGTAGAAATCACAATAAGAGAAATGCTACTGTATTTATAATTTTTATATCAGGAGATTCTAGAGTCTTCTCCGATTTATCCTCTAGCGCTGATTGGTTAAGAAATAGCCAGTCAATGTGCTCCAATACAATCCCGCCCAGAACATACTTTAATCTAATATATATCCTGCTAACACGAACTATTCACATGATCTTATTTACGAACTAACATATCGATTCTCATTTGAGAAAATATATTTTTTATTACACAGTTGGGTTTTTCTTGTTTTTTTTTAAAGGCAAAGTACCCGTTGTATGCTTAAGCGCTGTTCATTCATTTTTAAATATTCTTGCCTTAATATCTGGACCAAGTGAATGGAAACGTGGAATTCAATTAATTAGTCACCTAGTTATATTACCTGATTTAAATCCCACAGGTGAAATAATTTCACCATTTAGTAAAACAAAACAATCTAAAAATTCGAATTATTTATTAACTCAAGTAAGTTATATATACGTGAAAAAAAGGTGACAAATAATATATTTTACTAAATCTTAATATATTCGAATCTTGTCTCCTGTTATATGACAATATACTTGTACCATTTTTGTTTTGTATTGTGATCAAAACGACTTTGTCAGTTGTTGGAAGTTAGACTTTTTCAAATCCTTTTTTTATTATCATTGTAACATTTTTGAGTAGTGGATCGATGATTTCCTCAAATTTAGTTGATTAGCGATTATCTAGACAATGAATTTAACATATTCAACGTTTCTATTAATACTAATAGTCGACTATCATAAATGGTCTTGAATCATTCTTTTAATTCTCTTTGATAGGTTTAGTTAATTTGAAAAAAGGTTGTCTTCTTCATTTCATTATCTTCGAAAGCAATCCTCAGATGTTTTCGTAAATTCTCTTAAAATTTCACTATAAGTTTTAGTACCTTAGTAGGGGTTTGGTCCCCTAAGAAAACCACTTGCTTGGGTCTGGGCACCCGGGCATTATCATAGCCCACATACAAATAAAATGTGCGGCGCATATATATTTGGTGCCCTCTTGTACCAATATTTATGTGTTCAAATAAATTAATATATAAATAATAACCTTAGTATGGGTCACTATCAGATCACGTGTTATATTAATGAATAGTTCGTATCTGAATATCCAAAAGCTGTTGATTGTATGAAATAATGGACAGATATTGGTAACTATTCCATAGACTAATAACACATTATTTTCTGTTATTTTTCATTTCATTTCATACACTTACAATATTTAGTGAATATCGGCCTTAAGCACTCTCGATTACATCATAATGAAATGTCCGATCGTAAGCTGTTCAGATAAATAATGAGATTGTTTCAAGAGCAAATGGATGATGCATTGAGCATTTGAAGTGAGAGATTTTCACTTTGATTTCAGGTGTGGGCATCGAGAGTAGGACGAGACATACACCCTGAATCCTACTGCTAGTGACAATCTCATTATTCTATATGACTTGTATCATAATGGCTTTATCGAGACAATCTGCACAGTATGCATATATATATATATATATATATATATATATATATATCAATTAAGACAGATCAAATTTCAGTCTGCAATGTCAATAACAGGATAATTCAAACCTTTCTTAGCAATTCTATCAATGATTAAAATGCATTGTAGTAGGTTTAAAGAAAAAGATTTTAAGAAAGTTCAGAATAGAATGGGTTACAATGGATTGATGACAATGTAAACCTTCTTCTTTAAAAAAATGTATTAATATTTTTGGACTGATTGGCATGTATGATTAGAAATGAATGAATTTCAGACCATACTCATCATGTAAACTTTGATTTACAAATTCATTTTCATCACAAACTGTTATCCATCTAGTGGAAAACCATGACTGATTGATTGAAGTATTGGAACCCATACTGTTTGTTGGTATAGAACTGTTTTATCCTGGCTTTAGACTCCTTAGCAGTGTGCATATAGGATTTTTACATGCAGTCGAAACCAGCAGTTGTTTTTCTCTTGCGGCAAGTACATAACGCTTAAACTACGTTAACTCGGAACCCAGTAGTTTTCTATGTTTAATTTTCGTTTTAATCTGATTAAACGATCATTCACGAGTATATTGTCTTCGTTACAACTTTCCTTTATGATTGATGTTTGAGATTTTACAAATTATCTCACTACCGACTTTATTCAACATCCAACCCACCGTATTGAACTGATAAGGTTTTTTTTATAATATTAAGTGTTTATTAATACTGTTAGATCGATTACTAAGTTATTAATCAGGCACGGATTTGTATGCTTAACCTTTATCTACTCTCTAATTGTGAAGATTATTGATAACACCCGTACGGTGGAATTGCCAAGTGATTAATTCTAAGGCTAGACATAGGTATTCTAAATAAAAGTAGAAAGTCGATTGGCGATACTATTGTTCTTCATAGACTGAAATGGTTCGGACAAACGTTACAGGTGCCTGACTTTCACATGATTTTAGTTTGAAATGTTTGTTGACATAGGAATAAGTTAGGAAAATCTAAATATAGGAGGGAAAAGATTACGATATGGGGTCATTCCATAAATTCTTCGTCCTATATGTATGATTGAAAAAATTAGGTAATATGGTTCAAAACTGGTCTAGTTGAAGCAATTGCATTCGTTCTCTACATTCTATATTTTGAGCTTACTATCATTCCATGCTTTTCATCACAGCTAACTTTATTTCTACCCGTTTGCTTCAGATCATGTTAATTTTTTCTCAGCATGCTTGTGTGAAATGACAGATTCTATGTGAATGTTGACCGACGTGGTTCATGTGTAAATGGTAAAGATGGGACTTGTTTAATAGATTCATACTAAATGGAATTAAACTATAATTCAATTAATTAAAATAAAAACTGTTCAGAGCAAAGGTGGTAAGGTGTTAACATTGGAACCTAGGTCACTTTCTATTTGAGACTCGTCATCTCGGTTTGACCGTATACTAGTGCTGATGCTCCCAGCGGCTTAGAACCCAGTACTTTTTAGTTGAAATACCCTACGCGTTATCCATTTAGCTACTGAGTTCATGGCTCAGTCCACTTGTCAAATCCATGAAGTCACTGAGCCATGTTGGTAAGTGTAGACTACTTGGTTCGGGACCACGATATGATAGCAACCGATGGTTAGAGACGTTGAATGACATGGCTCAAAATCGTTTGCAATGGCGCAGGTGCATCCACTCTTTGTGTTCTCTCAAACTCTAATCTTCTGAATTCTCCATATCCTTTATTTTCTTTCCAAATCTATTCCACTGGATTATACTTCTTAAATAACTTCATCAAACCCTAATGTTCCCTATCACTACTTATACTTTCACTACCTCTACCATTATGGGATTTGAATCGATAACTGAAACTCTGTGCTAATGTAGTATGGCAACTCGAACTGATGTACGTACTTACGAAGTTCCACGTTGTTACTGAATGACTGACTGAGTTCATTTAGTCACTAGCTTGTGATGAGTTATAATTTGAAATTTTAAAAACAAAATAAAACTGTTACTTACTAGTCTGTTATATCTGCCTCTATTCTTCAACTTTCTGTCCTCTGTTTTACCATTTTTTTTGATAATTAGAAGTTGTTCTTGCTTTTCGATCATAGCGAATAATTCGTCCAGTATTTCACCTAATAATTTATTTTAATGGTTAACCGTGCATGATCCTAAAATAAATTTCCGTGTAATAATCCTAATAATACTGTATCTTCTTGATCTAATTTCCTCTAGAAAATAGAGTTTTAAACCTATGGATCATTATTTGAATGTCACACAGTCGAATCATTGTATCTGGGATATTTCCTACACAAAGTTAGTTTTTTAGTTGTGGTTCCGTTTGGTAGCTTTCAAATTCACCCTTCATCTATTATGTGCTTCGTTTTCGTAGTGAACTTGGACATGAGTGAATTACTCAATTGTTCCATTGCACACATATCAGGTGACTGGAGTTAGCTGAGAAGAAACTCTGTATCAACCTAGTTTTCGTGCTATTTGACACTCATCTGCAGAATATACCTGTGGTCTTCAAGGAGTTGATACTTCCTGTGGGACTTGAGCCTGCACCACCCAGCTTCGTGGTGTGCTATGTTATCTCAGCTATTCGGGTAGTGACCTAGATATTTAAAACTAGTTGATCACTGGATGACCAGTGAATACTGTCTTCTCTGTCTAATCCTCTAGTGTTAAGGATCGTATTCTATCGATCAAATTTTAATGTATCCACTAGTCTAAGTAACTTAAAATCGAATGTACCAAGTTAAGAGTTTGAATGGTTATACTCCAATAGAATCAGATAATTCCTAAAAAAACGACAAACTACTTAATCAATAGACTATTTGGTTCAGTGATTCCCTGAGAAAAAACTGATTTTAATACTATTTCAATGAAATATATATATATACCTCGTTTGAGTATTCAGTTTTTAGAGGTTATATTAATAAACAAAATTACACTTTGTGATTTTTTCTAGCGTATCATGGAAGTTGGCAATGTATTAGAAGCGCTGACAATAACATCCAATGCTGGTTTCTTAAGATCTATTCGTAAATCAGTAAGCTTTTTTCCGTTTATTTTTTCCCTGGGGAAGAGTGGGAAATCAACATAATTTATTTGTGCACATTAAGATATTGATTAGATAGTAGATTCTGATTGATATATTTATGATGTGATAATGGTTGAACCTAATTTACAGGTTAGAAAACTGAGTACGGCTTGGACGCTATCGAATTCACGCGTATACTGCCAATGCCATGGAAGTCTTACTCACTACCTTCTCGCGATGGGGTTTACGAAATTGAGAAGATGAAAAGCAAATATCTGATGCTTTAACCGGGTTAGTGGACATGGGAGGTCCACCTAGCGGGGTTGAAAGGCCCTGATTCCAAACCAATGGTGCACATGGGCTCTAAGATTCTGAGGGAGCAAATAGCATATGAACCAATTGTTGGTTACCGGCTACCATGAAATTGCATCTCCAAAATTGCTCCACTGCCTTGTGGATTAGACCTCTAGGTCATAGGCTCGTGGAGTGTCCTCTTAAGGAAACCACTCGCTTCCTAGGCCTATATATATTTGATGCCTCCATGTACCAATGTTTATATGTTTGAATAAATATATAAGATGCTAACAAAGTTACACTATAAGCGACCAATGAGATCATAACTGTTCATGGTCTAAGCGTTTAGAAGTACTCACTTTGGATTAAAACTACCTTCGCATTACTAGTAGTGACAAATTTATTAAATATGTATGAATAGTACTTCATTCTTCGGTATACAGTGCGGTTTCGGTCAATCGCAGTGAAATTATTGATGCTCAACTAATGAATCTTATATATAAAAAAAACCTACAAGCTGTGTTGATATATGAAATTATCAGTTTGAATCCAGTTTATACAATCGGACAGTTAGAAACAGTAAAATATGAATACACTTGAATCATTATCATCAATTTTAAACAGTATTATCTAAGAACACTGACTCCTTACTTCTCATAGACTCGTATTGGTAACTCAGATTTCTACGCACAACTCAAGCTGATAATAATCACGTGTTCAGAAATGGAATGAAAGATGCACACTACCGTGGAATCCCAAACTAGTACTCAAATCGGTTCGTAATTTCATCGGGTTTCAACGATTTCCACAGTCCACATATTCTTAGTAATTCGTGATTTGATGGGCTTGGTTCTTGTTATCGTTCGCTCGTGCTAAATCATTTTCTCAGCTTATCGCAGCGATGCACAGAATATATTAAGATTAATTGTGTTCCAGCATTTGTGGCGTATGCCTGAATAATCTAATTGATTAACTGTTTCTAGCAATTCGCCTAAGGATTCATTGTTTATTTAGGGATTGTTTGGAAATAACCTTCCATCACGAATATGTTTGAATATACAACTACAAACATCTCATTAGATTCATCTTGTTACAATTCGGTATAATGAATTATCTCTTATCTGTTATTTTTGTTCTTCAAACAAGTGGTTACTTTGTTTGGGTAACAATTATACTTTTCGAAATAACGAAAACAAACAATTTTCCATCCATAATCTGATCTTATAAGTTGACTATTGAGTAGAAGATAATACGGACGAAAATCGAACTGACTTTATACGTTTCGCCTTTAATCATGTTCATAATCTCCTTGAAATTAAGGCGAATGATAGCGTATCGAACAGGCACCGAAGCAAAGGTTAAATATCTTTGATCTCAGTGAAAAGGATGGATACTTAATGTACAGTGTGTGAACTTTTCTCCAGCAAACAAGGTAAACTTAAGATTAGTTAACTGATTTGCAAGTAATTTAATGGCTTTTCCGAATCGAAATTCCCCGGAACAGATAATCAATATAATTTAGTCTTGGGTTTCGACTCTCGGTCTACTAATTTCAAACCAACAAACACTTGTTTAGTGTTTGTTAACTAACCTAGGTACTTGGCTTCGAACAATATTTGACGTTTAGATGTTAATGTCACACGGCTGCCTGAATCAGATTAGTAGGTGGGGGTTGAAACCCTCACTGAAGGTTTGTCTCTTTAACCACTGAACCACCACTCCACTGATAGGTTTCACTCAGGATATCTGTATGTGATAAGTGAGTCGTACCTTTTCCAACAGCCATAGACTAGTCGTAATAACAGGTCTCAGTGAATTTTTTACATGTTCTTCAGTTTATATCACAGCAATTTTAAAAAATATTTTTTGCATGAATATTTTCATCAAATTACTTAGTTGTGTACTTTTCTTAATTTTTATATTGCCCTCCCTCTCAAAAAATTAAATGATAATAGAACCTTAGATATTCGGCATTGTTGCTGCCTGCTCGTGCTTTAACAGAAACCACTCCACGTAATGTTGAATCATCTACATGAATTGGATTAAATTGACCAGAACAATTTCCACTCGATTTTCTCTGTTTTCTGTCCATGTTATCTAAAAAGAAGTCTATTTTCATTATGTCAATCAACATGTTTTTTCAAGAATAACGTCTGTGTATCCTTTATTTTGTTCATATCTGGCAGTGAGTAACTTGCTCTTTTTGAGAAAGGATGTTTTGCGATCAGTAATTAGCATTTAATGGGGCTTGTGTTCAAATAACAAAAGATACCCATTCCATCAAAGGTCTTTCTAATGCTTGTTATTATCATTGTCAGATTATTTTAATCTAGAGATCTATTATTCGTTATTCTCATACTCGTCTTATAAACTAGTTTCTTTTATATATTTTAAACTTTGCTTTTGTATAACACAACCTCTTCTAAATCCTAAAACTATATTCCTCTTTCAATTTAATAGACTCTCGTTTATTTTGTTAACGACAAATACAGTTGTGGTGTTTGAATGAACTAATGACTCCTTTGTACTTGTTGAATGCTTGATTTCAAATTCTAAATACAATATATTCCTTAGTGCTTGTGTAGTACTTCTTGATTCAATTGCGTTATTTCTGGGATTCGTAGTTCATACTATAATTCATTTACTCCTAATTATCATAACAGTTTAACATCTATTGATTAGCTGAATATGTAAAAGGGGTTAGGGGAATCTACTCATTTTGATTCTGTAGTTACTCAACGTTCTATCATATCAGACGAAAATAAGTATTTCTCGCTACTTACATAATTAGTTACAGCAGAAGAAATAATAATTTGTAGGCTCTACATATGTAAAGTATGCTAGTGAAGCTCACTATCTATCATAACTGGAATCCCAAAGTGATTCTTCCAAGGTCTAAATACCTGGTTGGATTTACGTGAAAATGACAAAATATCTTTAACAGTTACTTTAACACTTGATATAAGAATGATCATAAAAAAGTCGAACATGATAAGTACAAGAAGTTATATATAATTCGTATTATAAAGTCAAAAAAACTCAAGTGCTAGTTATCAGGTATAAGTCAATACAAGTAGTAATACAGATGACTTGTGTGAAAAGAAATCACATCTTGAAGTAAGTGCGAGGATTCGTTTACCGTCTTTGGACCGTTGAGTCCTATGTTTACTGGTTGTATGATGTAGATGAAAAAAGATTGGCAGTTTTTTCGAGAGGGAGTAGATGAACGAACTAATCGTAAGTACGAGAGTGTGGTAAGGATTCGCTTGTTGCGAATGACAGTAGTCGTGAAATGGATAATGAGCATGAAGGCTATGACTTAACTCTGTTTGGTATCGTCTAAGTTATTGACTTCTGAGTGCGTAAATGACAGTGTACAAGTTGTTTAAAGTCGACCACGCCAAGCATTTCGAGCTAGTCCTCAATAAGATCTGAAGACTAACGTTCTGAATGAAACAATTAAATCTCTTTGAATCGCGAAAAACTAAGTGAGCTTGCCAGGCATGACACATCTTGTTGCTATGGGGTCAACAAAAGAATTGGCGATCACTTCGAAAATTTAATACAATACAGCGGCCAACAAATCGAATTGAGAGATTTATGGTGACGTATATTCCGTGATTTTTTGTAACCACATTTTTATTCAATATCCGTTGTTTTTCTGTATCACTTATGTTAAAAAAGATGATAATTGTTTTGATAATATTTGAACACACTTTTTGCTACCGCGCGGATTAAAATATAATACACTATTCACGTCGTCTGCCCTTCTGCTTTATTGGCCACGGCTTTGATCGAAGACTATAATAGTATTATAATATCCTTATAGGCCTCTTTGCACTACGTTGGCATTTTGGCCCGGATCACTATTACACAATACTATTGGCCTCTGTCTTCCTAGTCACGACGTTGGTGCCATCAGTCGCAGAAGAACCTACGTTAAATCGAGTGGACTTATTTGTGGTTGTCATCCCAGGGAGCAGCTTTCAAGTAACATTCATTCTGTAATAATTGTTATTACCATATTGCTCAATACACCACTTGTATTTATAATTGTATATTTGTTACCCTTGGTTTATTTTACCCGTACACAAACTCCTAGGGTTTCCACTGTTAACTCTTTTGGCATATTATTATTAGTAACCTGGTGTATTAATATATCTTGTATAAGCTTTTTTTGCTGGGAACCACCACAAATCTGGTGAGCCCGTAAATTTCACTTTCGAAACTAGTTCTGAGTTCACTCACAAACATTTCGGCGTTATTTTTCCTTTTGGTAGTAATTATTTTTTTTATACATTTGTAATGTATCCATCCGACGCTGATGGCATTAGCCAGGACTGCATTTCAACAGAGTTAAACGCTCTAAACTTGATGAATGTGCCTCCATTTAGCCGATTAAATCCACGTATTTGGTTTGCACAAGTGGAAGTACAGTTTCAGCGGCGTAACATACGTTCACAAACATCAAAGTACTCTTTTGTGCTTGGAATACTGCCGACGGAAGTAGCATCTGAGGTATCGGATCTCATAGATAATGTCCCTGCAGCTAATGCATATGACCAGTTAAAGCAGGCCATCATCCAACGTACCTCATTATCGGACGAAAAGAGGCTACAACAATTCCTACACGAGTGTGAGTTAGGTGACAAGTCACCCTCCCAATTATTACGCCAGATGAGGCAGTTAGCTGGACCTTATAAAGTTGATGATGTTTTTCTGAAGGAAATTTGGCTACAACGTTTACCAACGGTAGTTAAGCAAATTCTTTGTGCTTCTAGCCAACCTTTAGACTTAGAGAATCTAGCTAGCATGGCCGACAAAATTTTAGAGGTAACACCTTGTACTACACCGTATGTGCAGACACTATCAGAGACTTCGAATGACAGGCAAACTCCTACAATAGCGTCGTTAACAGCCGAATTAGGCGAACTACGAGCACATCACGAACGAACCATTGCCAGTCTCGAAAATAAACTAGATGGATTACAACTATTACTTTCCAATCTCACATCCAAAAGGTCTCGCTCCAGTTCCCGAGGGAGTAAGAATCGAGACACCTCAAAAGGAAAGAAATATGATGATCACATATGTTGGTACCATAGAAAATACGGTGACAAAGCTAGGAAATGCGTCACGTCTTGTAAATTTTTCAAGTCATTTTCCTCACCTAAAGGTGTCAACCAAACCATGGTAACAACAAATATTTCGAGTGATCCTCATACTCGCCTTTTCCATGTCCTTGATAAAACTTCAGGATATAAATTCTTAGTAGACACTGGAGCAGAAGTCAGCGTTATTCCAGTTACCTTAGCCAACAAACCTGTTCCTAAGGGTGGAAAATACACCCTAAGGGCGGCTAACAGGACTGAAATAAAGACATTCGGCGAACAATTTCTAACATTAGACTTGGGAATTAAACGTCATTTAACCTGGGTATTTATTATTGCTGACGTCCGCCACCCCATATTAGGTGCAGATTTTTTAAGCTTCTACAACTTATTAGTTGGCGTAAAAAGAAGAAAACTTATTGATTTCTGCACTAAACTTCAAGTCCTGGGAATTCAGTCAGACTACCACATACATAGTATTAAAATTGACACTCCAGGAAACGACATATTCACCACTATTTTATCTAAATTTCCCAAAATAACGAAACCGGACTACAGTGAAAACACGGTCCAACATTCTGTAGTACACCGGATAATCACAAAAGGCCAACCAACATCGGCACGTCCACGCCGATTACCACCGAACAAACTGAATGTTGCAAAGGCTGAATTTGACCACATGATGCAACTAGGTATAATACGTCCTTCAAGTAGCCCATGGGCATCCCCACTCCATATGGTGCCCAAGCGGGATCAGGATTGGCGACCCTGTGGTGATTATAGGTCATTGAACAACCTAACGTTACCGGACCGTTACCCAATCCCTCATTTACATGATTTTTCGCTCACTTTACACGGCAAACATTTTTTTTCTAAAATCGACCTTGTACGAGCGTACCATCAAATCCCAGTAGCACACGAGGACATAGCAAAAACAGCCATCATTACTCCATTTGGTTTGTTTGAATTCCTGAGAATGCCATTTGGATTAAAGAACGCCGCACAAACTTTTCAACGATTTATGGATGAGGTCACTAAAGGCCTAGATTTCGTTTTCGTGTATATTGATGATGTATTGATAGCTAGCAAGTCGTTCCACGAACACATTGATCACCTACATCAATTATTCGAAAGATTTCAGAAATATGGCATAGTTATTAATCCATCCAAATGTATTTTTGGGGTCGAGAGTTTAGAGTTTTTAGGCCACATGATCGACAAACATGGAATTAAACCGTTGGATACAAAAATAGAAGCCATCAAGAACTTTCCAGAACCCGATTCATTGAATAAACTTCGGCGTTTTTTGGGGATGATCAATTTTTATCGTCGCTTTATTCCACATTGCTCAGCCATTCTACAACCTTTGACCGAGGTGTTAAAAGGCAAAGCTAAAAAGTTCACATTACCCCCCGAAGCGAAAGATGCTTTTTCTGCAGCTAAAACAGCAATCGCTGCTACAACTATGCTGACCTACATAAACCCTGATCCGGAAGCAACACTAATCTTGTGTACAGATGCATCTCAGGCAGCAATAGGTGCGGTACTACAACAGCGAGTGAATAATGAGATCAAACAACTTGCCTTCTTTTCAAAAAAGCTAGAACCAACTCAAAAGCGATATAGTACTTTTGGTAGGGAACTATTGGCTATTTATCTGGCTGTTAAACATTTTAACCACTTACTTCAAGGCAGAGATTTTGTGATACTCACGGATCACAAACCTTTAACCTATGCTTTCAACACTAAAAGTGATCGATATTCTCCTAGAGAAACGCGACAATTGGACTATATTTCTCAATTTTCAACCAACATACAGTTTATAAAAGGAGAATCAAATGTTGTTGCGGATACCCTGTCACGTTTCAATGTCGATGCAATTTCCTTCACCAAAGGAATCGATTTATCAGAGATGGCACGTCTACAAATAGATGGTCCCGACCTTGTAGTTTGTAAACAAAATTCGAGCCTGTCCTTAAAAAGTGTTCCTATACCGCATTCCGACTCTACTATCATTTGTGATACTTCGACCGGAATACACAGACCTTTTTTTCCAATAGCGTACAGAAAAAGAGTTTTCGATTGCCTTCATTCTCTATCTCATCCAGGAATCCGCGCTACTGTGAAACTGATTTCGGAAAGATTTGTTTGGCCAAAGATGAATGCAAATATAAAACAATGGACTAGAAATTGTTTACAATGCCAGCGCAGCAAAATTCATAGACATACAATTACAACACCGTCAACATTTAGTCTACCCGACCATCGTTTTCAACATGTTCATATTGATCTAGTCGGTCCTTTAGCCCCATCTAACGGATTTACTTACATCTTTACTGCAGTAGACCGTTTTACCAGATGGCCAATTGCTTGCCCAATAAAAGACATCTCCGCCGAAAATGTTGCTGCCGTATTTCTCGACAGATGGATCGCTAATTTTGGTGTACCTTCCACAATTACTTCTGACAGAGGTTCGCAGTTCCAATCTCACCTCTTCAACGAATTTACCCGCATTTCGGGAATCCATCACATCACTACAACAGCATACCATCCAGCAGCAAACGGACTAGTAGAACGATTCCACAGACAACTAAAAAGCTCACTGATGGTACAACCTGATGTTTCTAGATGGAGCGAATCCCTACCTCTTATTTTACTTAGCATACGTTCCACAATTAAAGAAGACCTCCAATGTACTCCTGCACAGCTCGTCTATGGAACTAATTTAACCTTACCTGGTCAACTAGTGACGCATAGTTGCAAACCCGTATGTACGGATCCCACTTCTTTTTGCGAAAGACTAATGAGCCATATGAATCACATCAAACCTGTTTCACCTCGACCAGCTGTCTTAAAAGAGCAAGTTAGCAAACATCTAGATACGTGTAAATTTGTATTCGTTCGTGTTGACTCTGTAAGACGTCCTTTACAACACCCGTATGAAGGACCGTATGAAGTAATTGAGAGGCAAACAAAATATTTCACAATCAAAAAGAACGGAAAAAACGAGACAATCTCAATTGACAGGATAAAACCTGCTTTTGTAGAATACGAAACACATGACAGTCAAAAGCCATCTAAAGACAGCAGCAGTCGTACAACGCAGTTTCCTGAACTTCCACATAATTCCTTACCTACTTCGGCGACATCAACACTGCGTAAAATGGACGATTATAAAGTTACACCCCCCACAAATGTAGCTCCTAATTCCGCCATTTTACCTGCTCCTAAAACAACTCGTTCAGGAAGACATGTACATTTTCCTAAACGTTTTGTTGAATTCATTAATTAATCTTTATTCTGTCATTTTGGTAATGTAAGCGAACATCTATATTAGCAAAGTTACTAATAACATTTTTTTTTCTCGAGCAATTTTATTTTAAAAAAAAAACATTTCGTATGTACTACAAAAATTGATAAACTCATTATATTTTTCTCTACATGTGCATACGTTTCATATGATGTTTATTATTATTATTTCTGCAACGTTATTCAACGTCGTTAGACTCGTTCAGTTTATTATTAAATGCACACACAGTATATACAAGTATCTATTTGTTTATTTATTTTTGGCAACTACCAATTTAATTACCGTTATTATTATTAACATTATTATTATTGTTATTATTATTATAATTATTATTATTCTACTTTCCATTATTATTGTTAAACCTTTTATATACATTAAAATGAGAAACGATTTTTTTTTCTCTTTACCGCAAGAAAAACAATTTTGTTCGTAAACAGGTATACGCATACGATTTTTTTTTTCTGATAACATTTGTCTATTCTTCTTGTTGTGTAATTTTCTTTTCCCTCCAAAACATTTAGAGTTTTACGTTGGGCATACTTCCATCGACGTATGCCCTAGGGGGGGAGTTATATGGTGACGTATATTCCGTGATTTTTTGTAACCACATTTTTATTCAATATCCGTTGTTTTTCTGTATCACTTATGTTAAAAAAGATGATAATTGTTTTGATAATATTTGAACACACTTTTTGCTACCGCGCGGATTAAAATATAATACACTATTCACGTCGTCTGCCCTTCTGCTTTATTGGCCACGGCTTTGATCGAAGACTATAATAGTATTATAATATCCTTATAGGCCTCTTTGCACTACGTTGGCATTTTGGCCCGGATCACTATTACACAATACTATTGGCCTCTGTCTTCCTAGTCACGACGTTGGTGCCATCAGTCGCAGAAGAACCTACGTTAAATCGAGTGGACTTATTTGTGGTTGTCATCCCAGGGAGCAGCTTTCAAGTAACATTCATTCTGTAATAATTGTTATTACCATATTGCTCAATACACCACTTGTATTTATAATTGTATATTTGTTACCCTTGGTTTATTTTACCCGTACACAAACTCCTAGGGTTTCCACTGTTAACTCTTTTGGCATATTATTATTAGTAACCTGGTGTATTAATATATCTTGTATAAGCTTTTTTTGCTGGGAACCACCACAGATTCATGCTAGTATCGCTTCAGTGCAATGTTTAGTAATCCAAGGTCGTTATGCGACTACCACACTAGTGGTCCAACCATAAACTCCTGACAGTGACTGTCGCTTATTCTTGGCATTCCGAATAAAAACACGGAATAGTTGCGCAAGAAAACTTTTAGAGCCATCAGATGTTTGGGAATGTCTGAACGTTTGTGAATTATTACGAAAGAGAATAAAGACAGAATGTTATGAAAAAGCGTAATTTCTAACAACTGATAAGCTCATAATTGGGGATATCCATTTCTAGTCCCCAGTGAAGTGTGGTGATCATGACACAGTCATATTTTACACGGAACCAAACGAAGTAACTGAGAGTTATGCCAACGTTACCTAAATTGTCTACATAAGATCGGAATACACGAACATAGAATGTCACACCATGCATTACATATGCAATTGAATGGCTAGTGTATCAGCCGTTGGAAAAATTTTGAATACTTGAAACCTACCTGAAATAACAAAAAGTGAAAACAAAGAAACCAGTTGTTCTACACAAGTATGTGAGAAATTAAATGAACATCACATAATCAGAAAACTCGAGCAATTAGAAGCAACAGAAGATGGACAGAAAGAAGACAATCGTTGTCACAAAAATATTGGATTTAGGATGTTGCGCGCTGTACAAATTGAAGGACAAGGTCACTAAGGCCTATAGTTGTATTTCTACATAAAGGTAGCATTCATGTTGATGAATTTGTGTTATTCAGATTCTCTTTTCAGTTTGTATAAGCGTACATTGTCATCTAAATGAAATCGCAATACATTCATGTCATGATGTACCATACGTATTTCAATGCTTATCAACTTTCTTTGGCAACTCATGATTGAAATTTCTTCAGAATAACCTTGTGTGACTTAACTTTTATAGGAAGCAGGGTTGTTGAAGTTATTACATTGAGATAGTTCGTGTGAGGCCTACTGTTTTTCAGCATTAATTCCAACCACGCTCTAACATCACTGGTCGTTATTATTGTGTAATTGGTATTTTTGTACTACTTTGTATATCTTGTAACGAAAAATTTTATAAAATTTTTAGAGGAATCAGAACCTTTGCTTTTGTATGATAACAGCAATTAATGTATGTAGATTTCAACATATGTTTTCCAACACAAATGTGTTCGATATATATATTCACCTATTCACTGGTTAGCTGGTAATAGCTCAAGACCTAATAAAGATAACGATGATAGTCTACCTGGTATCGTAATACAAACTCAGTTATATCAAGAAAGAACGAAATATGTCATTAAATACTGTGACGAATAATAATGGAGCAACACCTATACATAGGCTGTAGTCGAGTAAATATATGAGTAGTAGCGACACACTCAAATAACAAGAATTTTAAGGGTGTTATTAGAAAGTGCAACAGTGACTAGGCTAGTTCGACAGTCTAGAAAACAAAAACAAATCAACTGATAAAGTTAGGGATTTGTATGCGTGTTCCTTTACGTATAACTTTTGGTTCGGGTCATGTTGAAAAATTACAAACTAGGTTTTAAAGAAATCGTTGCATCAAAAGTATTATTCTTCAAAAGCCGTTAGTCTCACGTAGTTAGGTTGAAAGTCAGATCACGGTGTACAAATTTATACGGTGCATCCCTTATTGCTCTCAGGGAATTTTAGGTTGTCATCCATATCAGTATTTACAAAATCATGTTTGTCTGTCAATTAAGACTGTCTCATTGTTTCCACTCTTCATAATTACGAAATATCTTGACGTTCCCTACAAAGCATCAAATGGTTCTTCTTTTGAGTGTTACAAAGGGCGTTTAAATGTCGTAACCCGGACGAATAAAAAATTACACATACTTGGACATTTTCTTGCATGTTCTTTTATGGGAGCTTTTCATGGTGCCACAAGCTTTATTTTGTTTATAACCCTTGCTGTATGTCCGTAAAAAGACATTGCATCCGCTTACACAGCTTCTCATATAGGAACCACAAGTGGTTTTAGAATTGTTTAATCAGTTTCATTAAGTGGTTGTGCAGGTGTGCTTTTCACATCTTGATTATTGGTCGGATGCTAAGAGCGATGCTAGGCAAACATTTGATCCATTTGACGATATTCGGTTGAGACATCAATGAGCTCTTAAGTTTTTTTGTGAATATTCTCCGCAACACCATTTGTTGCTGTATGATTAGCTATTGTTGCATACAATGGACACCGACGATGCGAAGAAATCAGTCTAATAGATTAGATTGAAGCTGTGACCCCATGTCTACAGGAACTATAATAGGCATACCAAAACTCGAAGCCCATTTATCTGGGAAGGTTTTCGGCCGAAATATCATTTACAGGACAGGCAGCTGGTCATATAGTGAATCAATCAACTACTTTAAATATGTGGGCAAAACTGTGAGATTAAGCCAGTAGTTCTACTAAATCGACTTGAATATGTTTGTTTGCTATTTTACAGTCAATTTACTTGCGCACTTTGCTGCGTTGAGATTTTAAGTAATCCCATGTCCATTTCTTTATTTCTATGTTCACTTTATTTCAAAAGAATCTTGATATTAGCTATACGGCAGCACGGATTTTGGAGTGAGGCAACCATTGAAAACCAGAAATCGCTAGAGAGCTGTCTCGTCCATTTAGAAGATCCAGGTTTTCCAAATGCGTATTCAACACAGAGAGCTTCTAGTCACCTTTATTTTCTATCTCGTTTTAGAATAGTCTCGGTATTTTTATATCCATTTTAATGTCTCACCCATTTATCAAATGCTAGTAAATTCGTTTCACATTTTATCATATAAGTTATCCATATATATGAGATGAACATCTCTTGTTTTTAAATACCACTCGTTAAAGAGATTTTAAAGCTTTTATTTACTGTTCTACTTTTAGTATGCTTGATGAAGGATTCCAGTCTGCTTCTTTATCATCTGAAATTTCACAAGGATCATCCTACAATCGATCTGGTGATATAGAAATAGGAAATGACTTAAGTTCCAGTGTTGTCTTTTCAGCCGATTTCCACAAGTAATTGTTCTTTCCCATAAATTTCACCCTCTCCTTTGTTGTGCCTTTAATACGTTTTTACAGACAAGTTTTGCAGGAGCTTTTGTATTATATTTCTGAGTAAATACATAAGGTCGAGTTACGTGGAAATGGAATTATGAGTCCCAGTCAATAAAAAGAGCTTACATAAAATAAGTGGTGTATGTACTTCAGCTTGGGTTAACTTGTTTTAACAGACCAGAAATTATTAAAGTAAATTCTTGGTAGTTTTGTCTGTTGTATACGAAGTTTCTGAGGGCGGAATATAACTCTTGTTGACCTACTTAATTTCGGAACAAGTACTTATGCTTAGACTCGCAAGTAAAACAAATAGGAAACTGTACAGCTGTTGCACTAATGAGGGTCATTATATATTGATCACTGATAGGAAATACATGTTTTAGCAACACAGTACACTCGGAATGTAATAAATACTTGTGAAATAAGATGGCGGATTGATATAAGTCAATGTGGTTTGACATCAATTGAAACACATGTGATCATCATATCTGTAGTTGTAACTTCACTGGTTATGTTGTATTTCTTCATTTACAATTATCCTTGTCCTTTTATTCATGTTCGTTTTTGTGTTCGACTATATTACCTTTTGGCTAATTGAAGTGATGAAGATTCACAGCTCAAGTGGTTGTTTTTTGTGTGCCTTGAGTTAGAGTTTTCTAAGCTAGATGGTTAGGTCGTTCTGTCTTTCGAGACAGTGTCATTAGTGCTTACTTCATGTAGAAGTTAGCTTCTTGGTTATTCCATGAGTCTTAAATCGTTTTTTCCCTATGGCTTTGATTGTGATTGTTCTCCCTTGTTAGTTTCATTGCTCTCAGTTGTCCTTACACTCAAGTCGATTATTGATTTTCATTTATTTTCGACCAGGCTATTGATTATGTGTCGTTTCACTTTGACAGCTTGATCTATATATAAGGCCAAGTCAATCATTGATTTTCATCCTACCTCACTTCACTGCAAGCTTGCAATATATACGTTTGGTCCTTTGGCATTGTTCATATAAAAATATTTTTCCGAGCCTCATATTGTTTTTGATCTTTGATTAAGCCAAAGTGATTATATAGAGTTAAGCGGGACTAATCATATTGGGATCAAAAGAAATTGCAAAAACTGGTGTGGAACGATGAAGTAGTTAAACTCTACCTATACCCCTTGAAATAGATGACATACTAGTATGTGGTGTGTTGGTTATTGTAGTAACTAAAATTCAGTAAGTATAGGAATATGTAATAATAATGTATAATAATCATTGTAACTCATAGATGCCGGTATTAAGGCACCATAATCACGTATCTCACTTTAGTTCAGATAGGTGCGTGTCATCATTGGACTTTCTTTAATAAGTATCCTTTTTAGGTCAGGCTATATACTAATACGTATAAGGATAGGATTACATGTGGATACACTCTTGAGAAATGTAACTTACTAAGCACGTTTTTAAGCACTCTAGTCTAGAAAACAATTTTCTGACACTAATACCACCCAGCTGTTTCAACTTAAGTAAGCCGAGTGGATTTCTAACCTGCAGCTTAGTGGTTAAAATTTCAGTGCTACCTATTAACTCACGTCTTTACGACTTTACATTAGGATAAAGTTCCATTTTATGTTAATTGCCTAAATTCTAGAATTGAACTGGTTCGTTCAACACTTATTTACCATTTTTATTGTTTGTGCTTGAAGTGGAAATAATCGAGAAACTATAGACCTGTAGAATATTACGGATTTGTGTTGCAAGCAAGCTGCATTATATTCTCTTTGTTTAAATATAATATGACCTTTGCTAGATAGTTGTTTTTATCTTATTGATTGCTTTACAATTGTTTAACTTAACTGATATTCACTTATATGTAGGATATACATAGATTATTAGTATTCGATCATAGATGTCTTTGAAGCACTTCTCGTAAATTTTAACACCATCGGGTTAGCAATCTTAAGTTTAGATTAGGCAAATTTGATTAATCGTTTGGTGAAATAGTGGATCTTTACTGAATAAGATAGTCATGACATGTATTACGTATGCTCATCCTCCGAATATCACCATGCGCGATGATAAATGGTGCTAGGAGTGGGTTGGGAGAAGGCTGGGAGCGACTGAATCAAGACATGGCGTCAGTCCATGAAGATTTTAACTTTTGAAAGGAGCTGTATTAATAGATGCAGGCTACCTTATTTGGGTCCGCTTGATTATTGTAACCAATGGTTAGGAACTTCAAATGAAATGACTCGAAATCGATCGCAATAACGCATGTGCATTCGCCCTATCTTCCCTTAGATCATAGGTTTCTAAATCTATCATATTATTTTTCATTATTATTTCACCTATTCCTATTTACTTCTCGAATTGTATCTTGAATGTCTAGTGTTCTCTATTACCGTTAATACTGTTACTACCTCTACTACTCTGGGATTCGCTCTATGTTATAGAGTGCCGCTACTTAAACCAACGTACACATGCCTCAGGTTCTATATCGCATTTCACTGGTTAACTGACTGACCAATCGTTCCTACCATGTAGAAATAATATAAACAAATCTATATTTCTCTAGAATCCGGTGCGCATAAAGATGGCGTTTGTATATTTCTTATATTTTTCATCGTAATATGATAAAACTATATAATTGTGGCCTATATTTCAAGATAAATATTAATAATATGATAAGAAGTGGTGGGGGCAGTTATTTCCCTGCTTAAATCGTTCAATTTTAAGCTACTGACCTGCAAATTAAAACCCAACCTGTTTGGGTTAGATGCAACAGGGTAATATCACCAACCGTTACAAATAAAAGGTAGTTCTAATTCCTTCACATGAATTTTATGTCTGGTAATGAGTTAATCATGATAATAATAACCGTTTTTCATGTTGTTTCTTTATTGTGTTTTTCTTAAAATTGAATTTTATTTCAATCGTGAATAGATTCTTGTTAATTTAATATTTCATTTATAGATTTGATGATTTAAAAAACTTATTAGATAACAACAAAGATGCAGTGAAGTTAGGTGCAATGAAACGGATTATTGAAGTAAGTATATTACATAATAGTAATTTTAAAAAATAAAACACCTTTTTTTCAGATGGTTGCCAGAGGTAAAGATTGTTCTGATCTATTCTTAGCTGTAGTGAAGAATGTGGTCTCAAAAAATGCTGAGGTAAAAATGCAATACTATACACTATGCTCTTTATATTCTGTGAATTTATATATATATATATATATATATATATATATATATATATATATATATATAAGGGGTTGTTACAATAGTTCCTGTGTATGTACTAAAAATATGTGTGCTGTTAGCCCATTTAACAATATGTCCGTTGTTTGTATGTTAATCTGAGTACCATGTTTGTAGAAATTTTCTGTCATTTTTTAAGCTAATTAATACAGAATTTCAATTTTTTCCCAATGGAATTCATTCCCGAAGTTGTCTATATTTTATCGGTAATACAATTACATTTAGTACTGAAGTCTTTTTATCGGGATTATAGAACATTATCTCATTGGTTAAGGGATTTTTAAAGTACGGCAACCGCGGTTCATATACTTCAGTTTGTTCAACTGGGTAGTATCACAAGTTCTCGCACTTAAACTGTGTCTCATTGTAGCCAAATACACTAATTCACGTACCTGGTGAAATGAGTTAAATAATGAAAAATAATAATTTATCAAGATATCTTAAAATGGTGTGTGTCACTTATGCGGACAGATATAAGTAGTATGATTCGGGAATCGGAAGTATTTATTTATTTGATTTATTTGAACACATAAATATTGGTACAGGGGGGGCACCAAATATATATGCGCCACACAAAACAATGATAATTTGAAGAGAAGGAGAAGAAATATATATATATATATATATATATATATATATATATATAAAGTAATGAACGTGGGGAATTATAAAAAAAAGAGGGAGAGAACAATGATGGGGAAAACGGAAAAGTACAATCAGAAGAAATCTTTCAGTTAAGGAAGATACAACCACTTTTTATGAAGAAAGTAAAAGATGGTTACAGCAGGATCGCCACTGGCTTCTATTCTGAGCCATATCTGATAACGTCTCTAGCCACTGCGAAATCTCTCTGAATCGGAAGTAGGATTCTTAGTGACAGAAGAAGAAAATGAGGGGAAGAGGAAGAAAAACAAAGAGTAATCGGAATAATAACAGAAATGGAAAAAACGATGGAGTTTTTAAGGGATAATTCCAAGAAGATGTGCAACTATTGTATTCAATGTATTGTTTTCATATTTTACAAATGCAGTTTGTAATTTAACATAATATGATTGATTTTACCATGCTCAAATCTTCGTTCTTTACATGATGGTACTCATCGGTTGTTTCATTCTTTCTTTTCATTTCAATAAAAATGTACTTAGATTCGAAAACTTGTCTATGCTTTTTTAACTCATTATGCTGAACAAGAACAAGATATCGCTCTGTTGTCGATATCAACATTTCAACGAGCATTAAAGGTAAGTGTGTAATATAGTAAGTTGTTTATGATTATTGATGAAGAGTAAGATTACATGTGCATTATATAACCCTCTATTACATCATCATGTCTATTCATTGTTCATATGTCCTCATGGAATTAATACTCAAAATTTCATATGATTTTATGGCTTGATGATAAATTCATTGAAAAGCGATCCCTTCGTTGAACCTCGTATTTTTCATGTTTAAATGGGAATGATATGTTGACAAGTAAAACAATACCAAGTGAATTAAACTTCACCCCTTTGCACAAGAAAGTGGCTATCACGATTCAGTAGCTAAATGGATGACGCGATGGCGTTTGGAGCGAACGGTACTGGGTTCGAGTCCCAGAGTGAACGTCAACTCGGAGTTGCAGGTACATCCAGCTGACGGCTCCCAAATAGGACGAAACGCGCGTCCTGGATTTCACTGCTAGCCACTGTCCATCTTCGCTTATATGTCGATATTAGTTTGTATTGAAACAAATTCTGTTAACAATCATTCTAAAGTTTTATTCTCCATTATATTCTGATAATTTCTCTCATGTTTTCTCTTACGTTTGGATATTTATTCGGCATAAAAGTATGTTATAATTTTTTAAGTATCATCTAATAATCAGTGAATAAAAGAAAAAGTTTTATGTAAAGAAGGATATTTCCTCATAAAATCTGTATTCTTCACAGGCTCCAGTTAAACTTGATATCTTAATAGTCAGGGTAGAGGAAAAGTGTTGTGTCGATAAATGGTTCTTCAATTTCACATGAATATGTGATAAAAGCCAGTTCCGAATCGATTGATTTTCAAAACATATTTCAGTTTGCATTTCAATAAACTTGCTTATTACTGATTTGTAAAAAGTCATAACGTTCTTGGTTTTCATTCTATTAAATGACGTATAGGGATTGATTGATTTATACATAGTTTTTTTAACATGTGAAGAATATAAGGACAGTTAATGATTTGCTTCGACACAGAGTTTCATAGAGTTCCATTGAAAAATTGTTCCCTGTAAGTCCAGAAAAATTAGACGGATTGATGAATATCCACTGTTGATTGTCACTTTACATCCTATATTGACTAAAGTTGAAAATAACCGTTCTTTAGATTCCGACATAATGAGCGATTAAGCTTTAAGATCATGTTTCGTATCAAGTCGAGAACACTCCAGTGCGGATTAAGATAGGAAGTTGAATAATGTTCATTTATAATGTTTACCAGTTTTAACTAGCCATAGTGTTAAAACAATGTTTACCTAACTTGAATGTTTATGATTAAAATATTCATATTAAAGAACTCCAAACAATTGCAAGTATTATTGTTATCTTCAGGATTATGAAAAAAGTGTTTTCCATATGTTTTTTTTTAAATTTGCAAATAATTTCGTTTAATTTTATAGATGAAATAATTTAATTTAACTAGTTGAAAGATATTATTAATTAGTGGGTTTATCGGAGTGGTAGTTTACTGGTTAAAGCAGTTGGGTTTCAACCCATTGACCTAAAACTCGAATTCCGTCTTACCTACGTAGGTTTAAAAAATTGAATAGTATCATTAGCATTCTTTCGCACACATAATAGTGTAATTGAAAGTTAAATATATAAACTTGTATTTAGTTAATGAGTTATTGAAAAATCTGTTATTCTATACAGTTACTTAAAATGTGTTTGTTTATTAGACCGAAAATTTCATATGTCTATGGATTGATTAACATACTGTTAAAGTCATTAGATTCTGAACAAGTTTGTCATTATTTTAAAGGGTATATACGCAAATGATCAAATAAAAGAGTTATCTATTTACTAATAGTTGTCTTCGAGATAGATTTTTTCTTGAAGTTCCAATGTAAAGTTATAATCTGTGGAGTCAATAATGTTAGGAATTAGTCGGTCAGTCACCGTTCGTAGTAAATGATGTTTGCAGTTAAAAGTGTAGGTCATTAAATTCTTGTCTAGTTCACGGGGTGTGCTCACTGTGATGGCTGAAAGTCATGGATGCTTATTGTTAAAGTTTGAGAAACTGTGAGACGTCAAAACAACTAACTAATACTATGTAGTTTTCAGATTTTTCCTCATCTTATATCAATCATCATAAGCATCAAACGGAATAACAATCATTTGAAAAAAATTAACTAAACGGGATGATACATACAAGGAACCGTTAGTGAACTAATAGACAGAGTAACCAACATTAGAAAATATCTATTGAGACCAAGGTTAAATACAGCATAGCTATTGGTATTTCACTTGTCTTATCCTCTTACTGGTTTTCTATACTCTACTAAATTAAATGAAAATTGTTCCAGTTTTTTGGCAGTTCCAACATGTAGATCATAAATGGGTTGATTAGCATTATTTTTTTTCACTGATCAGTCATCCTAGGAATTTTTATCTTTAGTCTCAACTTAATGTCATCTACATCATCTCATTTAATAAAACTCCACTAAATTGATACTCATTTAAGTATTCATGAACTACTGAGATTTTATTCGAAGAATGAATTCGCTATCAACATTCATAGTTTTCAAATTGTTTAATTTCTCAACGTTCTTTTTTTTTGTGTTGAAATCCCAGGATCCTAACCAATTAGTTCGAGCTTCATCTTTACGTGTTTTATCCTCGATTCGTATTCCACTTATATTGCCTATTGTCACTTTAGCAATTCAAGATGCTTCAAAAGATCTTTCTCCGTATGTACGTAAAACTGCAGCTCATGCCATTTTAAAAGTTTATAGGTTAGTAATTAAAAAAAAATGATGTCATGTTTTAAAATTTTGTGTAATACTTTTATTTTTTACAGTATCTTATTAAGTTCAAATTATGTTAGACACTTAATCTTAAATCATCACGTTGTTGATTCTTTCTGCTTGTGTCAGTGTTGTTTCTTTATGGGGTAGACTTCAATTACTGATTAATTGGCAATTCTTGTGTACACATTACATTCAGTTAGTAATCAGTATTGAAAAATCTTTATGTTAATAGTTGAGATCATGAATCAATTGAAGCTAGATCACCATGGAAAACCTGGAAGCACTGAACGGCCGTTTCGTCCTATTATGGGACTTTTCAGCAGTACACATCCACGATGTCGCCCCGCGAGATTTATTTTTTGACTGATTGTCTGTGAACTAATTATTTAATATTAATAAAAGCCAGTGACCATTGTTCTTTTCAATGATATTTCTCTAAAGATTTGTAAAGCTTACGCATATCTAGGCAGTTGTATTTGTAGAGATATGTGGGATAGATTTTAGATTATACTTGCTTCAGTGAGAAGTTTCTGAAACCATAATGGAGGAAGGAATATATTCAAATATGCAACACATTGGTTGAAAGTATAGTTGTTAACTACTGGAATAATAGTTTCATTGAGTCTTATGTTTGTTTGTCTGTGGTGGTTTATTAGTTTAGGGTTAATTATATCAGTCTAGATCACATGTAACGGATTCATAACTAATTTGTAGTGTGCGAAATATTAAGTATCCATCCAAAGTGAAAATGTTTTACCATTTTCTTTTTCTAGACATAGCATTTAATAAACATGATGCGCAAATCATTCAATGATTTAAATCTTTATGTATCGGCTTATATTAAGTTAAGATAGTTTAGAAATATTCAACAAAATATTACCAATACCTTTACTTGACGACGAAAGTATAATTATGGTCATTTTGTGTTGGACATGTCACAGATGTGCGTTGGCCTAAAATTCATCAGCACGCAGAGATGAAGATAACTAGATGAATAGCCAAATAGGTCTTAATAATGTGGTAGCGACGATAATTATAAAATATTAAGCATTTCGAATATGGTTCGAAAAGTCAGTGGAAATGTATGTTTGACGGACACTTGGAATCCACAATCTAAAGCAATATAAGGATTAAATTTATCTGAGCTATTATAAACGATTTTGAACCAATTCCCTCACTTTCCAACAGCTGATCACGGTTATCATATGTACCCTAATCAGGTAATCTGGATATACTAATATACCTCATATCAACAGTCATTGACTGTATTGGCTGATCCCATATCTTGATTTGGCTTCTCTTAGCTTTATTCCAACCTATTTGTGCACTGCGAAACATCGCTCATCATGAAATAACAACTAATTAAGCTGCTTTTTTGTTTATGGAACTTGCATACCTTCAAAACACTTATTGGGTAACATAAAAGTGATCACATTGGATCCTACTATAATCAAGGTTCCTTCTCTCAATAAGAAAATATTATTATCTATCAAATTGTAACTATTATTATACTTGTAATTAATTAGCCAATGGATTATCAATCCAGAAACTTCATTAAATTTTCATTTATCACTCATTAATTATTCTGTGTTTACTAGTTTGGATCCAACCGAAAAGGACACATTGATTGAAGTAATTGATCGTCTATTAAGCGATAAAACTACCGTGGTCGTTGGTAGTGCTGTACGTGCATTTGAAGAAGTCTGTCCTGAACGTCTGGATTTAATACACAAGTAAATTAATTTGCGACATTTATCCTTTGTTTTTACATTTCAATTGTCGAATTTGGAAGTTAGAATTCTTCGGTTTACACCACGAACTAACTTTAGCTAAACAACTATTTAAAACCAGGAAGCACTTGCCAGTTGTTTTGTTCTAGTATGAAACTCTTCAACAGGACTGATCCACTATACAACCATGGGTGGAACCTACGACCTTGAGGATTTCGAGGCGAGAGCTTGACAATTAGACCATTTAGTCACTGTCCAACGGTTTACATTTGTGTCTTCAATCAATGTTTGATATTGTAACTAGTTGCCAAAACTAAAATAAGGTTTCTTTTCCCCGTGTCGAGCTCTGGCTTATCGTAATGATGATGACACTTTAAAGATAAGTAGGCTGGTGATCGATATAACTGACTTGTTTACCTAGATGACAGATCAATACTGAAAGTCTTTTGAATCTGAATGCAGGAAAACATATTGTACTGATGTGTATTCACTATTTTTTTAGTAGAAAAGGAAGTCATATTAAAAACCACCAAAAGTAGTATCACTTTTAAGAAATCTGTCATCTTTTGTGTCGCAAATTAACTTCTGTTGGTCTAATTCATGAACTGACTTTAGCTAGACAATCACAGTAGACCAGGAAACATTAAAACTTCTAATGTACACGAGAATTCAATTTTTTCTCTATGTGAGTTGAATTCTTAGCAGCTGGTTCTCAACATTGCGCATGCCGTCAGTATCAGCTGTATATATGATGCTAATATTTGTGTTCCTGGATATGTCAGAGATTTGGGATCAGAGAATTAAATGTAGGGTATAGTGAATATACGTTTCTAACTTTTGTGTTTATCTATCCGCTCTGTCGAATTAAATAGCACTCCTGCTATGTTTTAAACAAAACGAAAATTTATCATCTGTACTATCCTCCCATTTATTGAATATGTGAAGAAAATCCACACGTAGTGAGGGTACTTTATGTAAAATAATATGACTTGTCTTTTACTTAGGAACTATCGTAAACTGTGTAATTTAGTAATGGATGTGGATGAATGGGGTCAAGTCGTTATATTATCAATGCTTACACGTTATGCTAGGACACAGTTTCCAAATCCTGAAAAATCATTAATCACAGTAAGTTATATTATAAATGTGACTTTTCGGTTTACTATTCATCTTTTTAAAACTTTGTGGTTCATTTATTTCAGGGCTTTATTTTAAATAGTTTTTTTTTCTATTTACTAACAATGAACAATCTCTGACATTAGTTTCTAATTGAAATCATTTTGAATTAAACGAGTTGGGATCTAAGATTGTGGATACTCGTGAAGAATCGACAAAGTTGGTTCTTTTTTACAAAGGATTAAGAAAGATATTGATGTGTATTTTTGTAAAACCGCTCAATCACAAATGTGTGCTATTTTTGAGAAAATAATATATTGGAAAACTTATACATCTTCTAGTAAAGTTCTATATGCCTACAAAAACCCAACCTTTTCCAGCTATGCATGTTTCATGACTTTATATTCGTTAGGTGAATAGTACCTTTTGTTCTGATCTATTATTTCTGTCCACCTTTAAATCATTTTCTTTTTAAATTCTCAGATCGAAAACGATAACTCTTCAACTCCTGCAAATCTTTCATCCAATCAATCAGATAACGGTCAATCCAAGTCGATTCCGATTTCAGGAAACGACAATAATCATAATTGTACATCATCAAAATCAAATACAACCATTACTACACCTGAAAAATCAACCCAATATTCCATGTCTGATGCTTTACCTATACTTGATGCTGATCGAAATGCACTTTTAAATGCTTCACGATATTTATTGCACAGTCACAATTCTGCTGTACGTAACGTTTTTGCATTATTTTTCTCGATTACAGAGAGTTTTAAGTACTTTTTCATTTTTGTTAGAATCACGAAGCGATCTAAGTTAGACAACCATTGAGAACCCGGAATCACTGGGTGTCTGTCTCATCCTCGTATGTGAATCACTACCACTGCTCATCCACGACTCTGCAACCGGAAATCGAACTTAGGATCAACAGTCTCGCATGCAAACGCTTAACCTCTAGACCACTAATTCGTGATCCAATAGTGTTCAATTCTAACTTTAGTCAGTTGAAGATATTTCGCCATCATCTGCTATTGTCTCCGGTGGGTACATTCCTCACATTTGACACAGTTGAATTCCATTAGTCACAGTCTCATTAGAATTTCAGAAATTTCCTTTCGAAGCTAGTCACTAGTGAACACATGATAATTATCATTTATATTGTCTTTTCTCAGAGTTGTATCAAGTGTGCTATTATTTAAGAAATTTCAATGATAATTCATATTGTTTTTTACAAATTTCTGTATGACTATTTAACCATTGAGTTTACAAAATCTTTTCGACTCTGACATGGGACTCTTGTTATGGAGTGTTATTTTATGAACGAGTTTTCAATTGCTTAAGTGACTTAATAAAATGCCTAGTGGTAGCTGCTCACAAGATTAAACAATTGGCGTTAGCCCCTCCTAATTGAGTTGATATCAGCAGACAGGATAGCTACTCTACGGAATAGACTTCTTTCTGATAAAATAATACTCTTGTATACAAACGTTTAATAAGAAGTAGACACGATTAGCTGTCGTAGGAGATTGAAGAAAGTTTTATTGGTCAATTACTCTCCAATCAGTTAAGACTTTACTAATCTTATTAACTCGATAGTTTGTTACCAACTGAAGTAACTGGTACACGTTTTACACATCACGACCCACTGTCTATTCCTTCATGCAGTACTGGATGAGATATAATAAGGTTGAAAGAAGCTAGGGATGGCTAGATCAAAACGCGACACTATTCCACCAAGTTTTCGACTGTTTATCAAACCTTTTCAAATGCACCAAGGAGCTCCAGTTCTCAGATTTTAGGTATGTCTTATTCAGGTGTGGAACCTATTACGCAACCTAGGTCCATGGTTCCCTGCTGACCATCTTTAAAGAACTGTCGTCCCAACATAGTATGTGCGATTTCGAGTCACTTAGACAAGTGTCCACATTACAAATTTATCAGTAGAATTCGATCAACACTAGTTAGGACTAGACAAAATGATATTGTTCACTACACAAAGATCATTCAGTATAAATTATGGTGTGTTCTAATTGAATAACTTTAGAAAAACTTCAGTCTATTTGATATATAGACATATTGACTCTTATATCGTGATTATTGTCTCTCCTATGAGTGTGTATAACAACAGAGATGACATCTTTGTTTTCTTTCTGTTTTATCACTTCCATTTCAGGTTGTTATGGCATCTAGTCAATTGTTATTCTATTTAAATGCTAAAGATGATTATCCAGCTGTAGTTCGTGCTCTAATTCGAACACTACACCGTAATCGGTAAAAAAATTTTTAATATGATCTCTCTTCATTACATTATTTCGTGATTGTAAAATGCAATGTTTTGTTTTTAATGGTAATCGTGTGTCTCACTATTGTGACTAGTTTCGAAGAATAGGTACCGAGGTTTCTAGCGAAAAGCTGCAATTGCGAGGTGGAGTGCTACCAAGTCAAAAGTACAACAAACATCATTTGATATCATTACATGTTCCTCATGCTGTTTTGTAATTTGGTGAAAATTGCAAATATAGACCATTTCGAACCTACCCAGTGGTATTAAGAGGTAAAAGTATGGTACACTGACGACCCTGGGAGACTGATCAGGCAGTCACAAAACGCCGCCTTGTTTATAAAACAATTATCAATACAAAGCAACTAAATTATAATGAAAGCATAAGTTTGGTTGGATTAATCAACCATCACATCTCAAATTATTCATTTTAACAAGGGATAACGGTCTGGTTTATATATTAGGAGTTGATCAAGTGTTGTGAGTTAGGGTTATCAGCCCATAGAGTTTTCGTCACCAATTGACACCAGCGATAGTGCAAAACGTTTAGGGTTAGGTATTAAGAGTTAGGCTGGGGTTCTGGTTTGGGTTTACAAATAAGGGTTAGGTTTTCTATCACGAACTGACATCAACCATAATGCACTGCTCTAACACTCCTTCTTAGCCTGTTACTGCTCGTGGAACATAGGCCGCCGGTCAGGACTGTCCAACCAACTCTATTCTGGGTTTTCCTTTCCAGTTGTCACCAATTGCTGCTCATTCTTTTGATATCTGCCTCAGATTCCTAACTAAATGTGTTCTTTCCTCTTGATGTATGGGCGTTATAACACCTCTTATCTTTTTACCTTGACAATTCCAAGTTTGGGCTTGGTTTGTGATGTAGTTTGATGATTTCCGCAATATCAATATGTGTCTTATCCATTTCCAACGTCAGCTGGGATCTGCTTTGTTTTGTGCTACAATAGGTTGTTGCTGATGTTATCTGACCAACGAATGTGGGGTATCTTGCCTAAACAACTGTTTGTAAACATCTATAATTTTTTTGATGATAGTTTTAGTAGTTCCTCATGTTTGATTCTACTCATAATTACTTCTTTCTTTTCAATCAGATAATATCAGTTTTGTGATATCTTCTCTATGTATATTCTTTTTACTATCTAGCGAAGTTCAATATATCGTTTTAAGTAATATAGCAAGTTTAATAACAATTGAACATCGTAATTTATTCGAACCATATCTACGATCATTCTTCATTTTTTCAACTGATTCACTTCAAGTGAAATTGTTGAAATTAGAAATTCTTAGTAGTCTAATCACAGAAACATCAAGTTCGGTTATTCTTCGTGAATTTCAAGTAGGTTGTTTCGTTTTTTTATATTTAAAATAGCTATTTATTGGACATAGAATAACTTCCGACACTTAGTCTTTGCAGTTATAAATGTATACATATGTAGATACAATATCTGGTGTAAGAGATTTATTTAAGATTTAATATAAATCATTAATGTTATCCACATTTTTATATAAATCATATGTATATGTTGGGATGTTAAAGGTAATCGATAGGAAACCCTGGATCTAGTTTTCGTGTTATTCGCCACTCCTCTGCGAGATGTAGCTGTAATTTTGAGGAGACTAGTGTTTTACATTGAATTTGAACTAGCATTACCCGTCTTCACAGACCAAAATGTTATCGATGAGTTACTTGAAGGAAACAGATGACTTACAAACGATTGATTATCAAATAGTGGTCAGTGTTATATTTGTATAATCCTGACAAGTGTTGATCGAATTCAGTAGATTAGCTTGTGTTTGACCACTAGTCTAAGTGGCACGACGTCACATCTCTTATGTTAGGAAATTAGACAGTTGGAAGTATTGATATGTTAAATGCGATCACTTGACGAAAACATGAAACAAGCGAAATATAATCATATCTGAGTGGTTGCTAGTTGGAATAAATAAAAATCACGATTTATTACTTATGCATTGGGGAATTATATTGTATGTGTGTAATCATGCAAGAAGTAGAGCACAATATAGAGTTAGTTGGAGATTCCTGGTCGGCGACGTATGTTCCACGACGGATAACAGGCGTAAGTGATAATCACATGAGGGTTACAGAATATTACAAGGCAATCGTTAGATCTTTCTGTCCGTACTGTTTAGTAGTTCAGGGAATGATTAATTATATTGCTTGGTTTATCGATCTTTTATCATAAGCAGTAGACTGGATTAACAGACCCATGTTTAGTTGGTAGAAATATGAAAAACTGACTTCTTAAACCCAAAGTAAGTTGATTGATGTTAATTCAGTGGTTGAAAATTTACTACAAATATCAAGCGTCTTGGGATTTGTCTCAGGTCTTCATTGATTTCATGTTTTTCTGGCTTGATATCTATACATCATCTTGACGCATTGTGTGATACTATTTTCATTAGGAAAGCGCGAAACGCATAACTCATTAATTTAGTTGCATTCGTTAGTTGAAAATGTTAATCCATTGATTTTGTAAATTGTACACATACACTAAATTGTTGAATTATTATTATTAACTACTGTCAGTTCAATAAATTCAGATTCGCCTACTGAGTGAATATTTTAAAGGGAGTTAGACTTGTTTACTATTGAATCTTGACTCAGTGGTTTTAGACTTTAAGCGTTCGTGCACGAATTCGAAGGTTCTGAGTTCTATCCCCAGTGACTAGGATGAACACTACTAGGGAGTCCCTTACTCGGACGAAGTAACTGTTTGATACTTCCCGATTTACATTAGTCGTCTAACTTAGATCGGTTCATGATCATGATATATATTTGATTGTACATTTTTACGTGTTGAGCAGTTGTACATCATTGCTGGAATTGGCGCTTGATGTACAAATGAATCTTTCTATAATTGTTATGACTTTTGTACGCGGATCAATATCACATGTTGAATAATTTTAATTATAGAGTTTATTCGCATCTGAAGTTTTTTTCTGTAGCCTAGTGTTATAATTTTGATCAATTATATGTCTAACATGCACCGTTAACGTTGAGCTGGCTCATCGTAAGCTCCGATCGATCCTCTGACCTCAAGTTTTTTCTCTTTTACTTACCTTGGGTTGAAAGAGAGTTCAGCATTCGGCTCCTACCATACTCAATTAAGTCATAATTCAAAATTCATACAATAACGTAGAGCGAAATCTTGAGCAAACATCAGGATAATTAGGAAATTACCGTAACGGCATAACTATGACATAATTGGAAGAGAACTGTGTAACAGGTCCGTAATGAACTAACTGTAACTTAAGAACGGTATAACACACAACAACCGTTTATGAATCACGAAAAATTTTACAAGCAGGGCAATACAAAAAAAGTTATTATTTAAGTATTAATAATTACACAATGGGAATATAAGCAATAACTTCACGTAGGAGACAATTCAAAAAATGCAACTTTCCCTATACTCGTCCCGTTATAACAATAACAGTCTTCCTTTCTTTATTACATCAGACCATATTAATTTAGTTACGTTGACAAAGTAACTAAAAGGCAGTTTCTCTAGACTGGTGGTCACTGACTACTTATCACGTGACAAAAACACCATTCGGAATCCGTTCTGCCAAAAACCGAGTCTTTCTTGGTTCACGACCCTTCAGCTTCTCTCTGCCCTGCCCCTGAATCCAGAAATCAGTGATCAGCCCGTATTTTATTCGTATTTCAAACAGCCAGTTTATATACACATAAACTCGACCGCATTACATCATAAACTGAAAAATAACACTTATACATGATCAAGCCAAAAAGTGGCTGAGAGCAGGGGAGACTGAGTAATAAACTGGCAACAGATTAACAATAGTGAATCACATAATCGTAGTTACTGTGTCAATCGAAAAGTTATGATAAGAGTATATATGTACACTGTAATGTAGTTACTTGATAACTACAGCAAATATCTCATACTATTAACAGTAAATAATGTGTTTTTTTAAAGAGTTACAATTTCTTTTCTTTTTAATTACACTTCATATTATCTTTTGTAGTATTATGTTAATAGTTTCGATGAGGAATTTGTTACTGCGACAATTCAAGCAATTGGACGATGTGCTAGCATTGTTCCACAAATATCAGATGTTTGTCTAGGTGGTCTTCTTCGATTAATGTCTAGACCGAAAGGTAAATTTTCTTTCGTCATTACTTAGTTTTTTTTTGTTTTCTATATTCATCTTACCTCCTGTCCATCATTTAATTCAGCTATTTTTCTTCATGGTTAATTGGGATTGTCGACTAAGTTATTTTATATTATCACAATGGTTTGTTAATCTTTGTTGTAAATCTTCATTGGCTGAGGTGGTTGGTATACGCCACTATCGCTTACCTCGATTCGCATTATTTGCTGATGTATAGGTAGTCTGTAAGAAAGCTAGAGGTGGTCAAACAAATACGTAATATCAGTCATTATCTGTTAGATTTCAAGTTTAAAAATTATCTCTTACTTTTTCATTTGGCGAATTTGTTCTTCTCGAATCATATCGTTTATATCTAAACTTTTCTACTAACGCTGTCACTAATACTGCTTGCACCAATTTCATTTCACTACGCTGGTTTGGTTTGTCGATTTGGGCCTATGGGTATATGTCAAGTTCCGTCGATCAAGCTACCGGCGCTGATGAGGACTAAATAGCACAAAACTTAGGTCAATCAGAGTTTCATTCTGACTATCTTCAACCATCTAACGTCGAAACGACATAGTGTATGCGTGTTCAAATCATTTAGACTAGTGGCCATATTGAAATTTGATCGGTAGAATTCGATCAACGCTAAGTATGGCTAGACAAACATGATGATGTTCACTATTCAGTTACTTGGCGTCGCGGGAAATGTGTATTGATGTCAGATTGTCCAAAGTGGTCGGCAAGAGACTCTAGACCAATGTTTCATGTTAGTTAGCTCTTGTTAGTTTCAGCTCATTTAGCTCAATGATAACTCATACTGTGAAGTGGGTGGCATGTGCTGGAATCTTATTCAAACCATCAGTTTCTTCAAGATTACATTTACGTCTTGCATCAGTATTAATATAAATTATTGGATCACATTTTTTCTAATAAATTTCGATATGCTACTAAGTTGATCATAGAGTCACACAATATCGTCAGTCAATCAATATCTTTGGGTAAATGCATTATTGTGATCGTTTGTCACGTAAACATCTTGCTAATTTGAATTCCTTATTGTTCCTTTTAGAAAAAATCATGGGCGAATGCGTGATTGTATTAAGAAAATTATTACAAATGAAAGTAAGTAAACATTCTCAATATTTATGCTGCAAGCCACTTTTATATTGTATATTTTATTAATTACAGCTGTTAAGAATCACGATTATCTGGGGTATTTCGCAACTTTTCTTAAGTTGGAATTGTGCCACTACATTGCAACCCGTTATTCTTAATGATTACGCTTTCTTTGAAGGATTTAAAGGTCTTGGGTTAGTTCCATGGTTAAGTCATAAGTACACACTGTTCAATTTCCTCATCAACTCCCTAATTTGTATGGAATCTATGTGATTGTTAGAAAGGATTTGAATTTTCTTTTTGATGTTCAAGACTGATATTTTATCAGTCTTTGTGAGAATCATACATTAAATGCATCAGTTGTACATCTTCCTTGAGTTGTTCTTTACATAATTCATCATTCTTCCAATTCAGTTATTTTGACTGCTCTCTGTCTTCCTTCCTGTTCTCTTTATTTCCACTACGCTTCGTATTCCTGAGACATACTACTTACATCTGTCAACATAAGTAGCCCTTACCATAATGGTACCTAGCAATGAGATCCTGGATATCCGTGTTTCGTCCTATTCGAGTCTCATCAGCTGGATTTATCTGCATCAAATCATCAAAACTACTTCTAATCCAGTTTTCCTTTCAAGAACTTCAGAACAAGTGTCCTTCCACAATGTAGGCAAGTGGCAATCATATCCCACTCTCTGATTACTGACTGCCTGAGTCATTTATATTACTGCCTTAATTATTTTAATTTTTCTTTTAATTAGGTAGTATTATTTTCGATTTGTTTTTATTTGATTATTATCTTATTACTTCATAGACAACTGATCATAAAGAAATTATTACACATATAGCTCAATTAGCAGATACTATGACAATTCCGACAGCTTTAGCATCGATATTATGGCTTCTGGGTGAATTCAGTCATCGTGTTCCAAAAATTGCACCTGATATCTTGCGTAAAATGGCTAAATCTTTTACACAACAAGAAACTATTGTTAAATTTCAGGTAATTTTATTTATTATTATCCTTAGACACACAGATCGTTAGTGATATGTACCTGTTTTATTAGTGTTTATTCTACTTATATATATGGTTTGTAGGATATTTCGGGCAATATACTGACTTACTTACACCTGTTACCTCTCATACAGGAGCATAGACCGCTCATCAGCATTATCCATCGAACTTTGTCCTAGGTAATCCTTTCCAGTTGTTTCCAGTGACTATTCATTCTTTTGATGTCTGCTTTCAATTCTCGACTCAGTGTGTTCTTTGGCCTTACTTTTTCCCGCTTCTCTTCAGGATTTCAAGTTATGCTTGCCTCATGATGTAGTTTGATGATTTCCTCAATGTATGTCGTATCTATCTTTAACATCTTTTCCTTAATTTCCTCTTCATCTCCAAGCTGATTTGTTCTCTCCCACATTGGGTCGTTCTTGATGGTATTCTTCCAATGGACATTGAGTATCTTGCTTAAACAGTTAAGAAATACTTGTACCTTTTTGATCACATATAGGTCAATTATCTCCGACTAATATCTTGTGAAACTGTGGTTATAAATTAATTCTTAGTAGGATCATCGTTTGTTGAAATATAACGGAATAGTCAGAATATGATATGTGATATTTGAGAGGTAAGTTTAGTGAGATTTATCAAACTATCAATACAAATCCATCAAATAACTTTACCCACTACGTTTCATGACCACTAATCTGAAATATCTTTTTAGAAATCTGTGTCAAAATCTCAGCACGGGTTCGGAAAGCTCAATTTACGTTCATCAACTTAATTCACTTGTTGTGATGTTGAAAGACTGGAATAAAGTTAGGGCCGGCCAAAACAAGATGTCACACCAGTCTATGAAGTTCTTGACAATTGGATTGACCCATATTAATGGGTATACAACACCTGGTTGAGGTTTACATGATTAACGTAACAGATTGTTAGAAACTTTCAATGCCATGCCTCGAGAACAATGGCTCAGGTGTATTCATTTATTGTCTTCCTCTAGAAACTTAGTCCCGAAATCGTATACCTCTTTTATTTTTCTTCTACTCGAGAATTTGTCGTGAAATAATTTTATCATTGTGCTAATATGGTATGGCAACTCAAATTCACTCACTTATGCATTGGGTTCTACGTTGTGCATGATTGACTAGTTAAGTGTATATTATCTGTAATAACTATATCCTGTAAAGATTTATCGCAATCTCCCTCAACGATTGTTTTTCATATCTCAAATCAGATTTATTTTTATCTTTTATTCATCAATTTATATGTTAATAGCATAGTGAGATGACATGTTTGTATATCGTCAGCTTGAAATATGCTAAATGTAGTTTCTTTTTGAACACATAAATGTAGTTTCATGTACTAATGGAGTATTTATACTCCTTCTTTTTTTTCTCCATGAACATACACCTATCTCTGAAGTATGTATGTTACGTGCTTGTAAGTAGTCAGTACAAAGAAGTTTTATTCTTTGTTAATACATTCGCAAGGTATGTCTAAAACTCCTTACCAATTGATTCCATGTTATAGTTTCGAAACCATGTCATTTAATGTCGAATTTAAAGATATTATCGGAAAACAATTGGTCTAGCTTTGACTACATTATAGAACTAAACTAATCACATTAATTCAATCATTTGGCTATCATATATATTATTCAACTAATAATGTTAATTGTAATTTGATTATCAAATAAGTTAGCAGAATATTATGTTCCAAGTCCTACATTATGTTTATTAATTGTGAAACCAGTCGATACGATTATCTAGTTGTTAGGGTTTCGTAACTTTCTACCCACTTACATCAATAAGATATATCTCCATTCACGAAGAAAAGTGATGTATTGGATTAAGGGTTTTCCTTTCAAATGTTTATACTGGGTTCGAATCTCGCGGGGGGGGGGCGGCGGGATCGTGGATGCGCACTGCTGAGGAGTTCCATACTAGGACAAAATGGCCGTCCAGTGTTTCCAGGTTTTCCATGGTGGCCTAGCTTCAATTGACTGATGATTTCAACCAGTGAAATTTCTAAAGTCTCCACAAAACCCCTTCTGATATACTATTTGTTATTAGATTATTGTTTAATGATCATTTCAGTAGTGGTTTATACGTTTTCATCTATTCTTTTCTTTTTTTTCCAAAACAAAATGATTTCTTTCTAGATTATTAATTTAGCAGCTAAATTATGCATTGTCAATCCGCGTCAAACACTTATTCTAACACAATATATCTTCAATTTAGCTAAATACGATGCTAATTATGATATACGTGATAAAGCACGATTTTTAAGAGGTTTATTATTTCCACAAATTATAACAAATGTAAGTTTAACTTATTTTATTGTGGCTAGTAATGACAATATGGTATTATAATGAGTTTTCATACTTGATATAGTAAACTGTCATCATCATCTTCACAAAATATTAGGGTAGTTAAAGTACTAGTGAGAAGTTGAGAGACCACTGGATATGTATGTTCTTCACGGAGACTGTCAGCCTGTACATACATGAAAATATGATGTCCTTACATAAAGTACTTAAGTACTCTTTTGCGTTTTATAGTCACTTGCAGATATCTATTGGGAGTCTTTGAAAATTCTTCGCAAAAGTCTTCAGTAACTGAAAAAGGTTCGAAAAACTTTGGATAATCAAAGTTCAATGATAATATATTATATGTCGCATTCTTGTTGGCTGCCCTCAAATGCCCTAGTACGGCCGAGAGTGGGGAGAGTCCGTTCTCCCTCTCGAAATGCTCTCTCATGGTCATGTGTATATAGCCTCTGCCAGGGAAGTCCTACTCATTGCCTTCTCGTAGCGGGGATGTTTTTCACGAAATCGAGAGAACGAAAAACGAATTTCCGGCGCTTTAACCGGGTTGGTGGACACGAAGAGTCCATCTAGGGGAGTTGGAAGACCCTCACCCCAAATCAATGGTGCACATGGGCTCCAGTATCCTGAAGGAACAAATGGCGTATGAACCAATCGTTGGCCACTGGTTACCACGGGACTGCATCCCCTCATGATGTCCCACTGCCTTATGGGTCAGACCTTTAGGTCAAAGGCTCCGGGTGTGGCCACGCAAGAACACCACGTGCTTCCGTCTGGGCACCCATCCACACACAAATAAAATTTTGCGTGGCGTTTATGTATTTGGTGGTGACTCCTTGTATCGATATCTGTGTGTTAAAATAAATAAATAAAAATCTTGTTGGATAGTTACCGATTTTCTCACAAAATTTAGCATGTTTCCGGAAATTTCTAGAACATCAAGGTCAAATGCAGTCATATAAATGTTCTTGTTTCCTGTGCCTACAATATCCTTCTATGTTAAGCTTTTTTCACACTTCCTGCCTTCCGTCTTCCGTTTGCCGTCCAAGTTTAGGAGATTCTGAGAGACTAGTGAGTGTTTAAAAAGTCACCGACAAGTGATAAAATATCAAGCATATCAATATAGTGATGACACAAATAAGTAGTTGAAAGACCGCAATAAAAATTGAAACACAAGAAATACACCTTAAAGGTAATAAATGACACTAGATAATATCAAGTTAAGAAATGGTAATTAGCTCAAGATTTATGAGGGATGAGAACTGCTTGAAACCGCTCTGTTTCATCCAATATCTGTTACTACTATTTACAAGTATTATACAGTTCCCAGTTGAGTATTCTTTATCAACACTATTTGTCTGTGATTTCATACATTCATACTATCTGTTTATTATATCTATTCCTGGATTTATAACATCTTATTACAATATCATCCAGTGTTGAATTTCGCGTTAGAAGACGATTAGGTTAGTGCACTGTAATCTTTTAGGTCGATGGAGGTTTATAACCTCATCAATCAATTTGCATTTTCCACCCAGTAACGTCCGTTGATGAATATCTGACTGATTTACTCTACGTCAAATCTCAGTATTAATCATTCACTTTTTCTAACTCACGTAGAAAGTGTTTTAAAGATATCCATGATAAAGCACTTACAACCCACATGTGTTTTCTATTTTCTCTATTATATTATTTCCTATGCTGATTCAGTTAACCAACCAGCTTGGTATCTAACTCACCATATATTTTATCTCTTATCTTGATTTATACTTCGGGTATTTTGAATTATGTCTTTTTAATACATAGAGCAAAATTCGCTTTTGATTTTAAAGGAAAATCAATTTTCTTTTAATTACAGCCAACTCTGATTAGCGATGATAATTCATCATCACCTGGGGTCCATAAAAATGCACTGAAACCAAATAATACTACTAATAATAATATTAGTAGTAATACATTTTTATCTAAAAATATTCGTAAAATCTGTTTAGCCACTAAACCGGCACCAATAATCAAATCACAATTTGAAGGTAAGTTGTTACTATTGCTTTTCTTTCATAGTTTTTAATAAGGTTGAAGTGACTTCTCGGTATTGACTTATTGTATACTACTGATTTACTTAGAAATAAAAGAGCTAACAAACATCTAGGTCAGTCTGTTATAAACGTAAAAAAACCTGTGATATATATAGGTACATCGGTCCAGGTTGCCAGTTCATATCACTACACCAAGATGAATTTAGCAAAACAAATTTCAGAGCACTAGTAGAAGTAGTAAGAATATTAGTAATCATAGAAAGGATTAGACATAGATAATATGACTGACCATGAAAGAACGAATCCACAGAATAAAAAGTGTAAAATAATTTCAAAGCTTCAGACCCAAAGGCAAATAAGGATCGAGTACATATACACCATTATTATTGATTGTAAGGTACGTAACCTAACATCCGAACTCATTCGTTACGGTAATTAAAATAATCTCAATCAGGGATAAACTACAGTTCCTTATGCATGTTACTTCTAACCATGAATAATTTCCAAATGAAAGCTATTGTGATGATGCGAATTTCCGGCGCTTTAACCGGATCCCAAATCAATGGTGCACATGGGCTCCAGTATCCTGAAGGAAAAAATGGCGTATGAACCAATCGTTGGTCACCGGTTACCATGGGACTGCATCTCCTTACGATGCTCCACTGCCTTGTGGACTAGACCTCTGGGTCAAAGGCTCGGGGTGTGGCCCCCTAAGAAAACCACCTGCTTCGGTCTGGGCACCCGGGCAGTATCACATCCCTCACACAAATCATTTGAGATTCGTGTGGCGCATATGTATTTGGTACCTCCTTGTACCAATATCTATGTGTTAAAATAAAATAAATAATTGTTATGATGCACATATTTATTTATTTAAATATCGGTGCTAAGCAGTACCAAAATATATATGCAACACAACAGGTAGTCATCATTAGATTTGTGTATGGTTTGCGATACTATCTGGGTGCCCCAAATCGAAGCAGATGGTTTTCGCAGAGGACCTTTCCCTGAGCCTTGGACCTAGAAATCTAATCCACAAGGCAGTGGAGCAACGTCAATAGATATCATCCCATCATAAACAGTAACCGACAATAGTTCATGCGCCAATAATCCCCTCGACATCTTGAAACTCATATATACCATAAGTTTGGGATCCGTGTTTTCGAATAATCTTAGATGGATCCTCCGTACTCACAAACCGGGTTTAAGCACCGGACAGTCTCTTACCATCCTTTAACTTTTGTAAACAACCCTTCTCAAGAAGGCAGTGAATAGAAATTTCCCGCCTTTGGCTATATACACTTAGCCATGTGAGAGCATTTGGATAGGGCTGGTGGACTCTCACCACCATCAGCTCTACCAGGTTATTTTGATGTATGATACACCTACACCGTTGTCTAAACAAATCTTGGTGAAATCGGATGCATACATATAAGCGAAAAATCGACAATGTATAAATGCCTATGTATTCTACACTGGGTCATCACTGTTAGTGAAGGCATTAGAAAATGATACGATGTATTACAGACATTAGTAGTTCGCTATTGTGTTTCTACTAAGTCGTTTAGTAAACTTATGCAGCACTTAAGCTGTAAATTACAGGTATAGTATCATCATTTCTTTATTTAGTAATGATTGCTCTCAGGTTTTTTTATTGATATATGACGTATCCAAATAGTAATCATTTGAGAATATCCGATCTTATCCTACAACAGCAACTTTGCTTTACGACGTCGGACAGTTTGACTATCCTTTTTACGTAAGAGTATGATTCGAAGATGAGTATCTTAGTTCATAGTTAAAATATAATTATCGTTAACCACAGTTTCACCATTGTCCAATTGGTTTAATACCGCATTGTCTTACCAATTTTAGAGTATATTCTCTAGAAGTCTTTGAATCGACGTGTTACATCAATTCTCTTGTTTTGTGTACATAAAATAATTTGAGCGGTATATTTTTCTCCGTATCTTCTGCCCTTTTCTTTTTGCCTGATCGTCTAGAAACGTCAGTGTCTTAGAGTGTAAATATATAAAGTATCAGTTATTGACAAAAATAACATATAACCATATTTAATTGGTACCTAATACTTAGGAATGTAATTTTTTTCCAGTTATATGTATATTTTTCTAATATTTATAAATCTTCCCTTGTTTAGGTAGATCCAACTTTCGTCTTGGTACATTATCGCATATTTTACAACATCGTTTATCAGGTTATAGAGAACTTACCGATTGGCCAACTATCCCACCAGATCCATGGTCACGTGTTATTGCAACACCTCTTCAATCAACTGCTACTTCGAATGATAGTGAATCTTCTGAAATGAATTCACCTAAATCATCTGTTCTACATGTTAAACATCGGATAGATGAAAAAAAGAAAGATCGTTTTGGAAATATTTCTTTAAATGATTTCTTCTCAGAAACGGAAGATGACGAAGATGATGATGAGGAGGAGGAAGAGAAGAATGAAGAAGAAGAAGTAGATGAATTAATTGATGAAAGAAAAGAAGGAAATAAAAAAGCTAAACATACATCGTCTGTAAGTTGTAATCTTTTCTGTATTAATAGACAATCATTACAATAATATTCTATAGTTTATATTCGGATTGATTTTAGCTAGTCGATAATTGAAAAATTAAGAAACGTTATAGACAAATGGTTTGTTTGTGTATGGGTCTTTTTAATAGTAGTGCAAATTCATAGTTATAAACTAAAACGAAATATCTTTTTAATTTATTTCCTTTTAAATCATTTTTCTTGTCTACCTGTGAATATTTAAGGAAATATTAAGATTCCATACAGATCGGATGATTACTTTGTTATAGTTTCCAAGTGCTACTCACAGCTTACACAACTAAGAGTTAATATATAAGAGAAATAAATCTTTGAGAGTTGTCGGTAGTCAAAAAGAGACTTTGCTTTACTTAGGTTTTGCTCTAATTGTAACTTATTAGCGTACATGAGATTTTAAAGGAATTAACCCAATTTCAAAGTCTGAGCCGTTACTCATACAACTGTTCGAACAGAAACTAACATATTTACTACAGAATAACCATTGATTAGTGACCACTCACTTGTAGAAAAAGATACAAATGTCTTGATTTTTTATTATTATTTAACGAATATCCATAGTCTTTGATGAAAACTATCTTGAAAAATAGATTATTAATGTACAGAAAACCATCCATCTTATTAAATGCTCCCTATGATCATTAGTGTTATGTGTTTGTGGAGATGAAACCCTATCATCTCCACAAACCCCTTGGACTGATAATAATAATAACAATAATACGCCACTGCTGGCTCATTTTAAGAACTAATTTTCTGACCTTTATTAAGAAATAGTGACCATTGGTGTTCAACCATTTCGGTTGTCTCACTCTTGAAATATTTGATTATCATCATTTTTACAATTTTTTAGGGAAATCTAAACTTTCGCAATTATTAGTATAGTGATAGTTATTACTCTAAATTTTTTCTGTCAGTCACTCTATGGGAGTGGAAATACTTCCAGCGATGGTGATGACAACGACGAGTATACTAGCGATGAAGATCAATTTAAAAAGAATGAAGAAGCGACCGATAAAGATGATAATTATGATAGTGAATCAGATTCCGATTTTGACATAGAATACTTGATTCGATCGAAACAACAGTTGTCTACTGTAAAAAATCATAGTATTAAAGAACAATCATCCAATTCATCTAATCTGTCCGAATCTCAATCTTCATCATTATTACCAACTGATGTTCCCGCTCCTGTTGCCATTACTACTCTTAATGACACCATTACTTCCGAATCATTGAAGGAAGATTCATTCACTGGAGAAAAGTTTATTCATGATATTAATGAATTACAAATTTCAATGAAACAAGATTTAAACAGTTGGCTAAACGCTCAATCATCATCGTCTAATGAATCTGTTCATGATGCTGTGATAAACGAGGATATTGAAAAACTTACTGAACAATCATTAGTAAGTTGTAATTATTTACATTTTACATTCAACCATATAAACCTTTTGTTGTCCTTCTCTAAATTATGCATTCTTTTTAATATATCGTAAATGTCTGACGAGTTAATAATAATAGTAATAAGTCAATCGTCCAAAAGTTACCTTTGCTATTCCTCCGTATTACTAGCTAACCGTGTTGTTCAAAAAGTAAAAAAGTGAAGATGGGCATAATACAAGCATTATCAGTGTGAATAGATAATGGTCACAATATTGCCCCCAAACGCCCTGGTATAGCCGAGAGTGGGGAGTGTCCGCTCTCCCTCTCGAAATACTCTCACATGGCCACGCGTATATAGCCTCTGCCAGGGAAGTCCTACTCACTGCCTTCTCGTGGCGGGGGTGTTGTTTACGAAAATGAGAGGACGAAAAGCGAATGTCCGGCGCTTTAACCGGATCCCAAACCAATGGTGCACATGGGCTCCAGTATCCTGAAGGAACAAATGGCGTATGAACCAATCGTTGGTCACCAGCTACCATGGGACTGCATCTCCTCACGATGCTCCACTGCCTTGTGGATCAGACGTTCAGGTCAAAGGCTCGGGGTGTGGTCCCCTAAGAAAACCACCTGCTTCGGTCTGGGCACCCGAGCAGTATCACAGCCCACACACAAATCAAATGAAAATTCGTGTGGCGCATTTATATTTGGTGCCCTCTTGTACCAATATTTTTGTGTTCAAATAAATAAATAAAATAAATACACAATTAAATTAAACTCAGACATGTCGTTCTTTGGACTTTAATCCAATGATATGAGAATTTTAAACACTTTATATGTAAGGCTTAAAAATATAACATAAATGTGTACTACTGAAGAGTTCTGAATACTAAAACGAAAGAGCTATCAAGTTGCTCTTGGTTTCCTAACTAAGGTTAGTAGTGATACTAGCTATGAAATGTTTATTTATTAGAGAGTTGAATTTTTGAGATGTTCATTTTGCTAGTGTGTAAACTTTCGACCAGTATATTTATCATCAAACTTCTGATCAGCCCTGGCACAATTATACCTAATAATTTCAAAATAAGTTCTATTGCACGAGTTATTTTCGTCGCTTCAGCAAATAGACTATATTATTTTATCACGTTTCAGTTACCGTGAAATCTTATTTGGCTTCATATAACCTTGTTAGTAATTATCAGTGTAAGTTGTATTCATCACAAATTGATGTCAATTACGGTACCATGGCAAGACAGGGATCACTGGACAGCTGTTTCATCCTAGTGTGGACTCCTCAATAGTGGGAACCTACTATCTGTGATGAATAAAACTTTCTCATTTAATCAATCTCCACAAAAACTTTCAACTAGTGAACTGCGTCGAGATTTTCCTTAAGTTCCAGTGATAAGTCACGACTGGTAGGTTTCAAACATTTCGGGCACTGAAACAGTCGTCATCAATGGTATCGAGTGATCTTTACTCCATATCGCAAATTTATTCAAATTGTTACGTCTCACAACCACCCGGTATGCGTATATAACCTTAACCGACGAAGGAAGACTACTACTCTATGCCTAACGGTTGGCCCACTACTAACTAGCTCCTAACAAAGAGGAACAACACAAGACTAATATCCACCAGTCCAATTTCGCTATTATATTTCAGACACTCATTTCTATAAACACAAAACCACGGACTATTTGGATAACAGTATTAACACGGAACAACAACATTGATGATGGAAAAACGGAATACTCGGTACACAATTAGTCAGCTATAGTTTATGTGTGATAAACGCCATAGCAACAAGTTTCAGTTCAAATGAAAGCTTAGAACTATGATAATAAGAGAACAATAAAACCAAAATACTTAGTAAAAATGCTATATATATATATATATATATATATATATATATATATATATATATATATATATATATATAATCGTGTTAAGTAGCCTCGGATGTTTTTTTTTACCTCAGAGGTAAATCGTCTCTCAGCTATTCTAATGATTAATGATTCACCATGAGATCTGAAGGTATGAGTTACAAGACCGAGTTTAATCATAGTTAGTCATTCCTGTATAAAACTTTTAATTATGGTAAATATCCTACCTATATTTGCTCGTTTTCATAATTTGTATGTATGTCTAATTGCTTCATAGTGGTTGAGGCTCCTTAGTGAGTTGTATCGGCACGTCAGTCATAATTAACGCGGAGCCTTACACAAATGCGCGTTAGCTCAACGTACCATACCAAATCTACGCGTTCATATATAATTGATAAAATAAATTCCAAAGGAGTTGAAATAATGCAATGTTAATAATTGTAAGAAAGATTAAGCAGTGAGAACAACATTCGAAAAGACTGAATAAAACGGTGTGCATGAAAGATTACTCTAATTCAAGATTCAGAGAATGATAAAGCATTGATTCATCTGTGCCCTCTTAATCGATTGTAAACTGTAGAAGGTTACTATGATAATTAGAAGTATTTGAATTATAGTATGAACTAAGAATCCCAGGGATAACGCAATTGAATCAAGAAATACTACACAAGCACCAACGAATGTACTGTATTTAGAATTCGAAATCAAACATTCAACAAGTACAAAGGAGTCATTAGTTCATTCAAACACCACATCCGCCACAGCTTAAATTAGAGTCTAAGTGTCTGTAATCAATTGTACGTCTTCCTCTCCTCAAATTCATGCTGTGTCTGTCACACAATGTATTGGATAAAGACTCTGTTATATTTGATTTCTGGGATTGTGTACAATCATCATGTCGGTTGAGTACTGAAAGTACTGCTTCCTAGAATTTGAACCATAGACATTCAGACTATCCTCCCCCACGAAATAATGTCGGATCTTCATATCCCCAAGTTATGAATAATGTGGCTTCATTTAAAACACCTTTCTCAATTTGACTAGAGTAAAAATTCGAAGTGAATTTATGATAAGGACAAACAACAGTTGATATGGAATTATCTGAATTGTAATCAAACTCTAACTCATTTAATACTCGTGCTTCGCATTGAACAAGTTTCTCACAAGAAACAAATGCATCATGAGGACAAATAATATTTGATATGACATCAAGATTCGATTCTTCTAAAATAGTTTTCTCGAATTTATTAAGAATGTCATTGCAGAGTAAAGGATCGTTAGAAAAATCAGCATCTATCAAAACTACATCAGTTTTTTGATCATCATTAGGTTTATTCGAAATATTTTCACCAGATTTGTAAGAAATTTCACCAGAAATATGTGAATCATTAGGAAAAACCATATCTGGTACAATAACATGAGAAATCTGATAGGTTGATTCATTAGAAATTGTTGTCTCGCAAGAATCTTGAGTTTCATTTAACTCTGAACTGATATATGACTCTAAACTGTCTTTTGAAATCGTCGATAAAGATAAATGATCATTATAAATATTCAGATTAATAGAATCAGAATCAAAAGACTTAATATTAGTTGCTGCAATTGCAGCAACATGAACAGTAGTATTACAAACTGACTGAATATGTCCAATATCAACACATTTAAAGCACTTACAATTACGAAATTTACATGAATTAAAAGGGTGGAACCTTCCACAGCACAAACATTGACCAAACTTGTGGCCATCCTCGTCAACTGCATCGCAATTCCCAAATGAACTATCTGCATAATCTTGAGTATGCACTGGGATGGGGCGACGTAATGTAGTGGAATTTTTTATATCCTCATGAATTATTTTACGAAATCTCCCTTTACCGCATTCGAAATTTGTATACTTTGCATAGTCTAGAAGTAGTTCCGTGAGAGTTGTATAATGAAGAGAAATGGGCTTTTCCGGTGAAGCCAAAATTTTTAATAAACCATATGCTTCTTTTCCAATGAATGTGAGAAAATGTGCCACAATATTAATATCCTCATCATCTTTCTTGGTCATGCTCCATATTTCAAACCTTTCCAAATAGTCTTCAAAAGCTTCAGAAGTTGAATGAATATCTAACTGTTCCATCTCAGGCTCCATCGCGACGCCAATATGATAATTAGGAGTAATTGAATTATAGTATGAACTAAGAATCCCAGGGATAACGCAATTGAATCAAGAAATACTACACAAGCACCAACGAATGTACTGTATTTAGAATTCGAAATCAAACATTCAACAAGTACAAAGGAGTCATTAGTTCATTCAAACACCACAGTTACTTCCTCTATTTCGACTTGAAAATGTGATGACTAATTAATCGTGTTTTTTCATGGTAGGATAACCCTTTTAGTATCGCTATGTGTATTTTTAATGAGTGTAAGTCGACGAAACCATGTCATTTAGCATCTTCAAACGCTTATCGTAGTTATCGTGCGAGTGCCATTCAAGTAGTCTTTATTTACCAACATGGCTCAGATCAACAGTCATAGACTGATTTCATGTTTTGGTTTACCAACCTTTTTATTTCTACTAACTTATTTCTACTCGAACTCATATCATCTGTTTAGGCAATCGGTGCTTGAGCATACCTAATACATGTTGCATTCTACAAATGGTTTAATAATTAACTATGTCAAACTTTGAACTTTCGCATATATATAAACATTTTCTTGCATTCTAGGTAACTAGAAGTGATTCTAAGCTCAACTGTGATCAGCCAAGTTCAAATTTCACATCTGATGACATGATTCATACCCATTCGAATTCTAAAGGTATTATTTTTAAACCAATTTAATGACATAATAATATAGGACTGTTGCGTTACAATAACTAATCTCATTTTTGAATATAATTAATGAACATTTGAGTTGTATATATACAGACGAAGCTGATTTGATGGAAAAACTTTGCAGCCGAGAACACTGATTTTATACCCACTTACAATCATACTATAACTTGACTACATGAAGTTCATGTCTGGCACTGGGCACTAAACATTGCAATAACTGGGTTTTATTCGGATTGATTACATTTCTCTTTGCAATCAGTTCGTAATATAATGCAGTAACCGTTGAATCTCAACAGTTATAACTATGTCTCTGCTGTTAGAGCTAAACTCTACCGGTTATGATTGTTCATCAAGAATTCCAGGGAACTCAATGAAAATAGAGGATATTACTAGTGGGCACATTGTTTTGAATGAGAAGTTTTATAGAGATTAGTTTCCAAATAGATGTAGCCTAACTGATGTTGACCTATGACGAATATCACTTACCACAATAGAACGAAACGGCCTTCCAGTGCTTCTAAGTTTTCAATGGTGGTGTAGCATCAATCGGTTCATGATCTCATTCAAAAACTCAATAATCTCCACAACCTCATGCTGATAATTTTAACCGTTGAATTCACTAGTCAATCTAAGCTAGAACATTATTAAAAACCTGGAAGCATCGGACGGCCGTTTCGTTCTAGAACGGAACTTCTCAACAGTGCTCACCCACGATCCCGCACTCAGGAAAGACTTGAACCCGAGACCCATACTGATAAAAGTAATTTTCACAATATTAAATCAGAGATTTTTCCACTAAATAAATTATTTTGGAGCTCAATGGGTATATTTAAATGTTAATAGAAAAAATGGTATATTTATTACTACATATATAGATATACAACTCTGTCTTACATTATGAATTGTAAGTTGTAATTTTTCTATTTTAGATACTTGTGAAGTAAATAATAAAGAAAACAATGATTCGTTGAATACCTGTGATCCTTCACTACAACATTCAAATGATGATTGTGTTAATTTTCCGTTACAAGTAATTTGTTCTTTGTTTTAATGTTATTGTATGCTCTTTTTTTGATGGAGTTTTCTTCTCTGATCTGGATGGTTTGATCGTGGAGCTTTCATCGTTCTTCTGAACGATATCATCAACAAACCCACCTGAGCTACAAATCTCCACCATATAAGCTCTTTTAGTTATCAAATATATTTCAAAATAAGAATGATTAGTTCAGCGAAGAGTTCTGTCTTACATAGATTTATTTTCAATGCTGTTCACTTGCAAATATACACTCATTTTTTCAAAATAATAATAATTATAATAATAGTGACAATAAAATTCTGTTAAACATGGTAACAGTCAGTTAGAATAAATAAAGGCATTAATTAAAACATTATTCTGGAATGGCTAGCTATCAGGTTTTCACAACGGGGTCCTTAATCATATCCCCCACTACACAAATACAAAGAATTTGTAGTCTCGAGTTCATAGATAACGAACTATGTCTTTTTAAGAAAATATTTAACGTAAATGGGTATCCATCGTTATTTATTGACAAGAATATAAAACTCCAACCGCCTAAAGCACAAATAACATCTGTAGAAAATAAAACACCTTATATGAACATCATTTTCGAAGATGATTTAGTTACAGACGTCCTGAAGAGGATATTATCCGACTCTCTCTCAATACAATGTTCTTCCCAGCAACTTTCCTGATAGTGTTCTCCATCCGATCAATGTTTAGTAACAATCTAAAGGATAAATAGTCTCATTTAACCAATTCCATGTGTGTTTATCAATTTATCTGTTTCTGTGGAGCCAGGTGTATAGGTCGTTCGATGCGTATTTTATCCAAAAGAATTAGAGAACACTATCTGGCTTGGCTTAAAACAGGTGGAAACGACTGATTAGGAAGTTCAATAATAGAACAACTTGTCAACACAGGTCACTCAGTCAATGCGGATTCTGTGTTCAAAGTTATCTGCAAGGCAAGTAGAAGGCTACCAAAGACAGTTATATTTCATCTTCTTAACATTACCTATGCAATAGCTATACATCTGAAAATTGCAGAATTATGTGTCCTAAAGAAACTGGTACAACCTCTTTGTGTACCATTGTTTTAATCTTATGATTTCCTTTCTTATTCACACTTCTTCTTTCGTAGCCATCTGCTTCCCCTTCTATATTCTCTATAAACCTTCCCTCCCCCAACTGATTTGTTTCTGTTTCTATGATCCTCTTGATTACGGTTGATCTCAATTTCAGCATTTTATTTTATCATGTTGAGCCTTCTTTTTTCACTTATAATTTCCCTATTTATCGACGTGATAAATATTTAACTTTTCAACAGCAGAATTATTATTATTTCATTATCTATGCCCTCGGGACTACAACCTTTTCCTATTTATGTAATGGGGGATATTATTTGGTTTCTCTTTCTAATAATAAGAACCCAGCTGTTTTTACATTTGGGTTTATTCTAAACCTGTGTATTATTCTGTTTCTCACTAGAGTATGTGTTGTTTAAGAAATCGTAACATTTTTAATGAGTGAACTAGACAACATATAATATTCGATCCAGTTGACGAATCCCAAAAATGACAAAACGCCCATCCTGGATTCCACTGCTAGCCACCATCCATTTCTGCTTGTTCGATAAAATGTTTGTAAATTTGATGGCACACTTCATGACTCATCTACAAGTTATATTTCTTCATCTTAATAGTCTACCCCATTAATACACAAATTCAGATTACAGAAACTTTAAAATACACTTTTTCTATCTCAGTTCTCATTGTTTGAACTATTCCTAAAATTCCTCGTATGTTAAACTCGTTGTTTCACATTCTTATATAATCGTGTAGACAGATGATTTTTTCAAACTTTGAACATCAACGATCTTTTAAATAGTAAGTCAGATATTAGAAAGTATAGTCTATAACATACTTTTATAATTACAAAAGGTTTATGGTTGTGCTAACCTGTGCATCACTCTTAGAGTTCCTTCCTTAAAGAAAACCTTTTGCCGAGAATAAAATTGTCGGATGACCAACAAGCTATCGTAAAGTAGTAACTTTGAGTCAACTCAATTATCAAGTGTGAACGATTAGGATTTAGGCCTAGAAGTTACGACCAGGAGTTGTCATCATAAAACAACATCAGCTATAATGCGGAAATCTAAGAGGAAATATCTAAAATCTGATTGTTTTGTTTATTTATTATTATTTGAGCCTGCTTAATCTTCATTGTATTACCTTTGGTTTCCAATATCTCGTTAATCTTTTTATTTACGGTCAGTAATTCATTCCGCCATTTATAATTAAATGGACCCTATAGATGTATCAGTTATCCACATGAGAAGATTCAATGTGTATTGTAGCTTTTTCATAGGTTTGAGCTATCCTACTACTGAATTAATACTGTTCAGTTGACTGGTTACTGTTAAGTGACCAATATCATGTTTGATTAGTCTTGCGAATTTCTGACCGAATTCTATTGATGATAACGTCACAATATGATCACTAACTCAGGTAACTCATCGTCGTACTCCCATCGTTTTTATGTAAGATGGTTGAAGTTAGCAGTAGGAATTCTGTGACAATGCTTTCGTACTAATTCCCACATGTGAACAAGGCGGGTCTTCAATCTTGAGGGAACTGATTCTCCCTGTGAATAGTATTATTATTAGTAGTAACTTTTCAAACTGTAAAACTAGATGTTCTGGGTTCGAATCCACTAAGGAGCATTAATTCCCTTTAAGATTCCAGGTACTTCCTATGGACCCCGTTCAACTACTTAACTTATTATATACTACCAATTTTTGTTAATTGACATATTTAGAAATCTAAAACGAAGTATTTATTTCTATTTGCTTTCATTCATGTATAGATTCATAATTATTCACTTTTATGGTTTACTCTAACTAATCCACATGAAAATGATATAACTGGTCAATTACAATATACTCGTATAGTTTGGCCTAATCATCCGAAATTAATTGTAATCAATTTGAAATTATGTAATCAAAATGCATGTGTAGATTTGACAAATATTCAATTTGATCTAATGAATAGTGTAATAGGTCGATTATTGGTTGATGCTAATCGAATTCAGTCTTTCAGTCCAATAGGTAATCCATTAATTTTGTTAAAAATAAAGTATTGAATTTCATACTACTTAATTATTTTTAAGTCTATATTTGTCAGTAATATAATTATTATTAAGCATTGTTTTTTTTCAAAGTGTTTAACGTTTATTGATGTAAATTGGTTGTTTGGATCTTCCCGCTGTTATTTCATGAATTAGAATTGATCAATTTTCGTTAGCATATGTGCATCCTGTAGGGGAATGGTTCGATACTGCCATTTAATTACAATTGTTTTTAAGAAAAGTTGGATGGTGACTAACACTGGTGTCCATGACGTGCGTTTCATCCTATTTGGAACTCGTCAGTTGAATGTATATGGATTTTTGGATCCCAATGCTAGCCACCATCCAACTCTCTCTAGAAAAGTTTACCGTTTATATTATATTTTTCACTGACCATATAATAAAGTAGGTAGATCAGTTATTGTTGATTGAATGTGTTCGTATAGTGGTTAAAGATTAGCTATTGCCTGGTTGTTTAAAGTGTGTAGTTTTCTAGATGGAGCATTTCTCAAATGTTTCTCCAGCAGTCTGGTATACAGGACAGTAAAGAAGTGTCGAGGGATAGGATCCTTTGATTGTCAGTAATTATGGAGCTTACTATAGGTTTAGATTTAGAATTTTCTGAGTCTCTTAGATGAATTATTCATATTGATGAAATTAGTTTAATCCCTGAGCATTTGTTTACTCTTTGTCTCTCGGTTTATCTCTTTTGTGGGAATATCTTTTACCCTTGAAACCAGTGAGGATAACTTCTATGGTATAAGTCAAATACACTTAATCTTATGAAGTCATTTGAGAGCAAGAAGTTCTCAGGTGTATGTTGTTCGAATTTGTATCATTCTAATATGGAAATAGATGAGTATGCATCTACTCATATCTTTCAATAGGATATATTTATTATTTTGTATAGATCACATTCTCACATAGACTATCGTACTAACTGAATTGTTTTCATTGAAAATCTACATTCTTATCAATGAATATGTCAATTTTACGTTAATTTACCGTCTTAACTTCTCTTAATATTTAGTTATATATATGGCGACGATTGTATTTGACTGAGTGTAGGTTGATTACATCTTATGCTTGAAATGCAGTGGTCAACAACAAAATTAATGATTGTCATCTTTATTGGACGTTTGTTGAAGCTTTATATATTAAGTATTAGTTTACCGATTCACGAACAACTCTGGAGTACAAAAAGCCCCGTGAGGTTATTGATTGTAACTACAACTAATCCGAAAAAATCTATGTCTAAATTCTGTAGCTAAATGAATAACGCGATGGCGTTCGAAGCAAACGGTATTGGGTTTTAGTCCTGGAGTGAATATTAACTCTGAGATGCATGTACATCCACCTAACAAGTCTCAAATGATATAGAACGCTCATCCTGGACTCCAATCCCAGCCACCATCCATCTCTACTTGAAATCTATGTCCAGTACTTTTTAATTTTGTTTAGTTTTACTGTTAACATTAATCCATAACGTAAATTCTCCTCAAAATTAAACTCATCTTTAAAAACTACTCAATTGATTTATTTAATCATTTAAAAAAAGTGAAGAAAAGTATTCAATAGTATTTCACATTGGGTTAGATAGACATTATAAACGAACAAACATTGGACAGCTCTATCGTCTCAGTATTGAACTTCTCAGTAGTACAAACTCACAATTCCACAACGGATCAAACCAAAATCACTTCATAGTATAAAATATATTTAAACAATCTTTACAACATTCTATAACAAGAGTAATAGTTTAGTTACTGATATTTAAGTAGTATAGTTAAGTAGCATGACATAAATAACATAACTTGTAATGCACAATTTTCTTTAATTACATTTTATTACATTTCTAACTACCTTATAATATATATATATATTTCCAACTTACATTAAACAGTACAATTGAAACCTCAATCAACATGTACAGTACAATTTGGCATAGATTTTGCTGGATTTTGTGATCCAATTGATTTAGATCTTATTTATGAAATGAAATTAAATGATTCATTAAATCATGAATTATTACATAGATGGAGAATTTGTTTAAATCCACCAGCATCAGAATTAATACGACCTATTCATTTAAATGAAAAAGAATATTTTGACGAAAGATGTATGTCAATGTTCTGTTTATATTTTATATTATTATTATTATTATTATTATTATTATTATTATTATTACTGTTATGATTGTTAATATCATCCGTTTCTTTACATAGATTTGGTCGCTTATTACTGTTCTATTCCTTGAGTTTTGGACAACTTGTTGAATCATAAAGCAGTTTTCATTGTCTTTCTAGACCATATAATTATTACGGTATATTATGAAAGAGAGTGAAATCACATTTTGAAAATAATACTTCTGTTGAAGAAGTCTAAACTAATTTACTAGTTTAGACTTCATCTAATCTTCTGAATTTTTCATGTTCCTTTTCTCTCTCTCTCTAAATTTATTTCACTGAATTGTACTCCTTGAATAACATTTTCAAACCCTAATCTTTCCGATTACTGCTTATAGTTTTACTACCTCTATCACTATGGGATCTGAATCGATAATTGCATCTCTGTGATAATATGGTATGTTAACTTGAACTGATGTACGTACGTACGTACGAAGTTCTACGTTGTTGCTGATTGACTAAAACTAATTTACTTGAAGTATTGGACATGTACAAAGTAGAGACTTGAGCATTGTTCTAAAATTATCTATGCTAGTTCTACACAATCAAAACACTTTAATCAATTATGATACGATCCGCATAATAATGCTAAACATTGTATTATTGGTTTATTTTAAATTGAGTGTTTACTAAAATAGTAGAAACATTATACAACTAATCTGTATGATTTTTTGATTGAGATCATGATTCGATGAATGTTAGAATACCATTTAAAATGTCGATGTTATCTTGCATAGGAGTAGGTTGGAATAAACCTAGGGTCAATTAAACTAAGACGCAGTATCAGTCTATAAAGTCGTTTACTGTTGAACTTAGCTATATGTGTGTGTGCAAACTACCTTGTTAGAATCTGTGCAATTATCATTATCCATGTTTACAGACGATTAAATAATATGACTTAATATTGTTCACAATGACTCAGATGCATTCATTGTTTGTTTTAAAATACATATACTTTTCTATTCCATGAATTCAATCTTTTCTCGAATCACTTTGTTCGTGCCTAATCTTTTCTATTACTACTACTAATACTGTTACTACTTCTATTTATTGAACATGTACTTTGATAATTTCACCCTACTGTACTGATGTAATTTTGCAACTTGAATCGATGTACATACATGCTACTTTCTATTTTAATTATCAATGAATGACTCTTCGTAGTTAAGATGTGCTTCACGTGGTTGTAGTAACTGTATTTAACATTGGGTAGTTGTATCCGATCATCAGGAAACCCCATTTCATTTAATTTTCCTGCTATTTGTCACTTATCAGTCAGTAAGATTTATTTGAATCATTAAGAAGACTAATGTTCCGTGTGTAAAACGCGACAATAGGCAAGAGGAATGTACACTTATTGTGATAAGTTATAAAGTGCTCACATAATACATTGCTTATAATCTTCAGCTTCCATTTACATCTTTAGATGTGTTCTGCCGACTCCGTGCTTTCAATGCACTGAAGCTCTTCATTCCGTCCGACAATTGTAGTAACTTCGACGTCACGTTCGGCTACACACTACTTAAAAATAATCTTGTGAGTGGCGTCCGCTACACCTGTATATAACTCGAGCATTTTTCATCTCATCAGTCGTATTCTGAATAATTCAGCAGTGAAATCTTTGACTGTGTGACACTAAGTAGTGCGAATTTGAATTTTACTGGGAATTTTATTTCCATCAAGACTACAGGTATACTTTACTGATAATTACTAATCATCACTTATGTTCCCACCCCTTCTTTGGACTAGTTACCGATAACTAGCTGACTCTAAAAGTACTATACTCAACTTCAACTAATATCGATACACTTCAATCAGAACTAATTAGAATAAAGAAATTCTCATCTATCAAATAAATAATGAGACCACTCTCACCTTACGTGATTTTTAGTACGTTTTTATTGATGTATTTGTTTACTTTTTTCATCGACCACTTTTATTTGTTGGTCTGTTTTCTTTTCTTTAATTGACCAAAAATATTTGAGGTTATCTTGAATATTATCGATTTTCAATAAATATATTTTATCTATGACCTTAAGTAATTTGTTTCGTTCATTTAGTGAATAACTGCTACATATTGGAATGTGATTTCCGCCAAAAGTGAAAAACTTTTATAATAAGATGAATCCTCGACAGATATACAAAGGCTGAAAATATCTATCGGAAGTATTTAAATGATAAGATTACAGTAATAAGTTAATTGAATATTATCGACATGTCAATGATTAAAAGTTATTAAAAATAAGATGGGTTACTTAATATTTTTAAGTAGTATAAATTTGAATAAGAAACAAAACAAGGATATAGAATATCTCACTGGATGAAATCATGAGTCATTTGAAGCTAGATCACCATGGAAAACCCGGAAGCACTAGACGGCCGTTTCGTCCTAGTATTGGACTCCTCAGCAGTGCGCATCCACGGTCCAGCTCCTCGCGAGATTCGAACCCAGGACCTACCAGTCTCGCGCTTAACCAACTAGACCACTCAGCTGGCCGGCATCCAACGGTGTTAATGTCTAACTTCAACCAATCCACGAAATTGCGCCACCGTACATCACTGTCTTCCGTGAGCTGATATCTCACAACAGACCTGGTTGAACTCCACTTGTAACGGCTTTTCCCTAGAACTCCAGGAGTATCTTTTGAAGTCAGTCGCTAATGAGCAGATGATTATTATTATCAGAAGGGGTTGTATGGAGATTTTAGAAATTTCACTGCATGGAATCATAAGTCAATTGAAACTAGACCACCATAGAAAACCTGGGTTCGAATCTCGCGGGGAGCGGAGTCCTGGATGTACACTGCTGAGGAGTCCCGTGCTAGGAAGAAACGACCGTCTAGTACTTCCAGGTTTCCCATAGTGGTCTAGCTTCAATTGACTCATGATTTCATCCAGTGAAATTTCTAAAATCTCCACACAACCCCTTTTAATAATATAGAATATGATGAGTACACTCGAACATCCAAGATGTTTGTATTAAATAAACTAGAAACTTCCTTTGAATCCTGAATACAACACACTTATTTGAATATTAAGAAAATGTTGTGGATAATCTTTAATTCAAAGCTTACTACTCTTTTATTTCAGTACAATAATTTCATTTTATGGTAACCGTATGATATTTTTATTACTATTCGTGAAATATCCTTATTTCTTTTCTTTCATTATCATCTTTCTCTCAACTTTTTTCGTATATATATGATCATAAAGGGTGAGTGTTTATATCCATATTAACAGTTCGATTCGCATACCGATTATATACCATACGTCAACTAAGTAAACACGTTTAATTTATGTCCATTGTGTGAAACTATCGATACGTTGCTATTGAAAGTAAATATGATTAGCCACTAAGTGTAGGCAAACAGGGACTCAGTTTACTGACTGTTTGTAAATGTGTGGAATAAATATCGTCTAGCGTGACTCTGATTCTTTATTTTTTGGTTATGAATTGTATATCTGATGTAACATGATCTTGTCTGTCATTTATCAGATGATCTGAGAATTCAATCTAGCGATAGTATAAACTTGGTCACCGGTGTTATTATCGTGGTATAGTAGTTGTCATGTTCAGAAAGAAAATTATTTTTATTTATGTCATATCTAGGGTTTAGATTCCTAAGATACCGCGCGTAACTTGAGCACTCGAACGCTAGAACCCTCCAAGTCGCAAATAAAAAGACAGAAGAAGACTAGGGAAAGTGGTTATTTGGCAAGAATTAAAATGTGCAGAAAATCATGGGTATTTATAGATATTAGCGTTTGTTAAATCAACATTGTAACTCAACCAATCCGCAAAGAGGCGTGTGGTGCTACTGGCTAATAGTAGCATGCCATGTTGACAGTCTATAAAGCTCCATTACGTTCTGATTGGATGGAACTCTTCGGCTCTTCTAGAGGCTTCGTCGTTGTTCTCGGAAGTCGTCGCGACAATTCACCCATTGAATATAACTTCAAATGATTTATATCTTAAACTGTTGTATGTGTATGTACTCTTTATTCCAACACATGAATTCATTCAAAGATTATTGTTCATTTTCGTTTAAAACACATGAACATGAAGTATACACGATTATGTTGGTGTAATGTATGATAACATTAATTAAACTGTAATTATAAAAGAAACCTTATTTTGTTGTAGGTAGTCAATAAGATTTATTTCTATTATTAATGGCGTTTGCAAAGTTCGTTGTGTTTCCAACAGCATTGAATGATAGTGACAAAAGATCACGAATTTTCTAGAGTTGGAAATGTAAATTGTTGGATGGTACACTAAATGGTTTAAATGTGAAACGCTTGCGATGAAGCCTAAGAGGTACTCGGTAGGGTCTTGGATGTACGTACCTGGATAGTTCCACACTTGGACGGGATAGGTATCAATGCTTCTTGGTTTTCAATGATCATGTAATTAAGACCTAAGTAGTAATAATGTTAATATTATTATTGCTTAAAACTTTCCTTATACAAACGTCTTGATATTTAAACAACTGTTATATTATGGTCTGTACATTGATGTTGATCACATATAGTGAATATTGTGTCTGAATTACTGTGATTGACCTTAAACATTATTGACAATGCTAATCTATACTAGGGCATATGTTCACTTAATTAATAAGTTATAAAGCTGAGATATATCTACTGTTTTAAGATACTAGGTGGTTATAGATATTTGTCAGGAAACTGTGCTTGACATATGTTGGCACTCGTCATTAAGCTGTAGGTTTATTTTTGAGAACAACTGATACATCCATATGATTCGAAACCGCGTCACCTAGTTTCATGGTCTGCGACATTACCGCCTAGACATTTGCTTCTTCTTGAACTTCTTGTATGACTGAGTTATTTAAAGTTGACTGATCTCTGAATAATCACCAGTATTATGTTTGTTTAATCCTTTTGAACCAATCAAATTCTATCGATCAAACGGAATTGTTGAGTACTAGTTTAAGTGACTGGAATGACTCAAACTGTAATGCATTTTCAAATCCTACAGAGAAAATTAGTTTCCTCAAGACTTTTAGTACACTTTACCAATAACTACTAAATAGCATAAAACCTTGGTTTACTAAAACCTCTTGCCAACTACCTCCAAGTACCTTACATCAAAACATGGTAGACGTGATATCAAGTTACTTAGATGATTGGCTATGTTTCTATTTGATTTATAGAATTTATTGATTGAGATCAAGAACCGATTGATGTTATACAACCACCATTGAAAACCTGGAAGCATTCGACGGTTGTTTCATCCTATTGTAGGACTCCTCATCAGTGCACATCCACGATCCCACTAGCGGGATTCTTGATCTTAATCAATAACATAATCATCTCCACAATCTTATACTGATGATAGAATTTAATCAGTATAAAGAATTAAACAAACATGATACTACTTACTAAACTAATAGTATTTTGTTTAATCAAACTCTAAAAGATGCTCAATAATGATATTTCTTTAAATCCTTTTTTTATAGCTAAACTTATATTAAGTCGATCATTTTATCATAATCATATAGTAACTATAATTAATAATAATAATAAAGGGATATGTCAATCTGAATTGTTATCCAAATTAATAACTCATCTTTTACAACATATTAATATTCAATATCAATTTCATAAAATACACACAAATCATAAATATATTGTATGTAATGATATACAATTACATGAGAATATGAACTGTTATTCTAATGGAAAGTCAACAACGACAACAACAACAGCAATGATGATGATGACGACGCCAACGGAGACGACGACGACAACAACAACAACGGATATCAACAATCCTCATAATCAAACATCATATATCACTATATTTTTAACTGGTCAAACAATATCTGATAATCAATTATGTTTATTAGAAGTTTCATATTGGTTAAATACTCTTTTTAAAAATGATTCATTTTCAATAAATTTAAGTTTATTTTGTAATTCATCTAATTTATTTCGTAAACATTTATCATTATGTATTGAAAAAATATTATCAACATTATAATATTGATGAAGGTTTAAGGTGTTTTCTTGTTGTTGTTGTTGGTGGTGGTGGTGGTGGTGGTGGTGTTCTTTGGGGGGGTTGTATTATTAGGGACTTTCTATTCAATGTTGTTTAAACATTCCAATTGATTTGATCTTTTTTCTTTTCTGTTTTTTTTTGTGCTACGTTTTGCGCTCATTTTAAATATATTCATTACTTCATGTATATGTTTGTGTGTAGTTTTTTATTTGTGAATTTGTTTATTTATTTAATCATGTGCAATTGGATGAGTTATTTTGTTGTTGTTGTTCTTCTTCTTCTTCAAAATTTAGGACAAAGTATAATTTTCCAATAAATTATGTGATAAAAGATGTATTCTTTAAGTATATTTGATATGCTCCGAACGTTATTGCTACCTTGACCTAGTGATCGGGTTTACCTATCGTGATAAAGCAACTGAGCTATACTGGCTGGAACAACCGTTCCTCAAGGTCCTACCATGCCAGATAGGTCGGTTGAACAGCGGTAAGACTAAAAGCAACAAAACCTAGGTCCGAAGGCGAAGTCGTACTGCTGACTGTACAGAGGTGTGACAGCAGTAAGGTGTTTCCTTCAGACAACCAGCATGACAGCGATGCTGCCTTCCCACAAGGAGAGGTGGGGTTAGAAAATGTCAACCCTAAAAATGCACACCTCGGCTTATTCCACGGATATCCGTCTCCGGCGGTGGGGTTTCAACAAGTACGGAGCTGACACAAAGATTACTCACAAACAGGTCGGATGTGAACGACCTCAAGCAGTTGTCCATTGGGTACTATGGTCAGGCTCTCAATTCACTAAGACCACCTTTAATCCAATTTCCTCTTCAGGTACTTACAGAAGAACACTTACATGGTGTGAGCAACCGGGAAGTGATAACCGCTCTCGTACTTCGAACAGCACTCGAAACCATTGTATTTATAATCAGTCCTACTGATATTTAATACGTGGCTATCAGTCAGTCAGTCAGTCAGCTGCAACGTAGGACCAGGCACGTATATGCATCGGTCCAAGTTGCCATACCGCATTAGCACAACAAGATGAACACCGGATTCATAGGAGTAGTTAATTCAGTGGCGGTAATATATAGAAGAAAGATTGTGTATAAGGATATAGTACAGGAAGATAGAATTAGTTCCTAGAAAGAAAGATTTGAAGTGATTTTAATCTCTTAGTTTAAAGGAAGACAGAGAGTGTATACACCGACGCCATTGTGATCGATTCTGAGCCATGTCACCAAGAGTCTCCAACCATTGGTTACGATAGTCACGCGGACCCCAACCAGGCAGTCTGAATCTCCCAACATGGCTCAGCCCAGAAGTTAGTGACTTCAAGCACTGATGCCACGTTTTGGTTTGGCCGCCCCTAACTTTCTTCCAATTATCCCCTGCACTAGTCAGCATTGCGCGTCGTGGTAATCGGTGTTCAGGCATACGCAACACGTGGCCCAACCATCTCAGTCGATGAAGATTCATAACCTCATCAACTGATTTACCATCATTCCCTAATACCCTGCGTCTAACCTCACTATTACTTACCCGGTGATCCCAGCAGATACCCGCAATATTTCTAAGGCACCTGTGGTCAAATACTAGTAACTTACGAATATCTTCCACTCTTAAAGGCCATGTTTCGCAGCCGTATAGAAGGACGGAACGAACTGACGTGCAGTATACTCGTCCCTTAATTGATAGACGGATATCTCGCCTTCGCCATAGATGACGTAAGTTGGCAAAGGCCAAGCGAGCTTTTCGAATCCGTGCTGAGATTTCGTCAGACACCAACCCATTAGGGCTGATCAGACTTCCAAGATAAGTGAAGTTGTCAACGCGTTCGACTACTTCACCCCCTATCCTTAGTTCAGGTGTTGATGCAGACCAGTCCTGAAGCAACAACTTGCATTTAGAGGGAGAAAAGTGCATCCCAAACATTCTAGCATTGTTGCTCAGTGCTACCAAAAGACTCTGCATTTCATCAGCGTCTTCACCAAACAGGACTATGTCATCTGCGTATTCTAAGTCAATAAGTGGACCTCCTGGTAGGAGATCAATACCCGAGAAGTCAGTCGATGAGAGCGTTATTTCCATCAGGATGTCTATGATAAAGTTAAACAAAAAAGGAGAAAGTGGGCAGCCTTGACGGACGCCACTTGAGGTTGCAAAAGCAGATGACAGTTCGCCATAGGCTCTGACCCGACTAGTAGTGTTCAAGTAAAGAGCCTTCACAAGGTTTATGTACTTCTGAGGTACGCCTTTCAATGACAGACACTGCCACAGAACCTCTCGGTCAACAGAGTCAAACGCTGCTTTTAAGTCAAGGAATACCACCATTGTCGGACGCCGATAAGTATGCCTGTGGCTATCCGTGAAGTTCAAACTGAAAGTTTCGACCTATTTGGAATTTCTCGGCTGGATCCAAGTGTTTAAGTTCATATTGAAACTCATGCATAGTATCGTCAACTTGTTTAATGTGTACGTAGTTATTTATCAACGTTTATATCTTCCCATAGCTGATGGTAAGAACTGTTTTTGATCCACTTCCACAGTCTTAAATAGAAACATTTATTAAATGAAAGAACGAATCATAAATAAAATTTAAGACCATGGTGAAGAAAGTGATCTAACAGACTGTTTCTGTACATACAGCTCAGATTTTAAATTATAGATGACTGTGCTCCCAAATGCCCTGCTACGGCCGAGGGTAGGAAGAGTCAACTCTCCCTCTCGAAATGCCCTCACAAGGCCACGTGCATATAGCCACTGTCAAGGAAGTCCTACTCACTGCATTCTCTCGACATTATTATTGTTTACGAAATTGAGAGGACGAAAAGCGAGTTGGTGGACATGGAGGATCCACTTAGGGGAGTTGAAAAACCCTCATTCCAAACCAATGGTGCACATAGGTTCCAATATCCTGACGTATGAATCTATTGTTGGTCACCGGCTACCATGAGACTACATCTCCTAACGTTACTCCACTGCCTTGTGGATTAGAAATTTGTGTCAAATGCTTCGGGTTTGTCCCCCTAAGAAAACCACCTTCGGTTTGGGCACTACAAGAGTATTCCAGCCCTTACACAAATCGAATGATTTGTGTGGCGCATATCTATTTGTTGCCTCATTGTATAAATGTTTACGTGCTTCAATAAATAAATATAGGTGACTGAATTTTCTGCAATGTAAACATCTCAGAATAGTTAGTGGGAATTTTTAAATTATATTATAGTAAACACCTGGATATCCCTAAAGCGACTTTGTCTTAAAGAATAGACGATATACGTTGTCTTTAGTTAACTTACGCTTCAAAAAGCTCTCAGATGTGGTGAAGATTCGGCTTATATTGGAAGCCTACACATATAGTTTCATAGGAGCAGGTGAACTAGAACACACATATTTAGTTAGTCAGTTATGGGTGCTCATCCCTGATCTGCTGAGATATAAACGGACGACTATAGTAGGTTAAAGCAATATTCTCTGCATGAAACGTCTCTTTTATTGATCTCTTCGGCAATATTATCCTTCAACTGATAATTCATAGAGAGAATTTTCATCGGAATTATGTAGATCTGATCTGTGAATACTGTTCCCTCTTTATACTTTTCTCAATAAATCTTAACGACAAGCTATATTCTACAAATGTGAATTTATTGCCAAAATAAAAGACAGAGCACCACTGAGAAGATCAATGAACAAAGACCTACATGGATGAGACAGATGATAGACATTCATAGTTTAATTTTAATACTAAATCATACATATTCATTTAAACAACTTGAATAATATTTGATTCTACTGAATTCGGTCACATGTGATGTTTTTAGAATACGTTTGTGAAGGTTCTCAAACTAAAATAATACAAATGTTAAGTTCTTTATAACACTGAACAATTCCTCACCTGTCACATCTCTTCATGATAGAAGTAACTACTGTATAATTGTACAGAATCTTTAGTAAACTACTTCTGTATGTGTTGATATGACTTTTCTATTTGTACTAGTGTGTGTGTGTGTGTATGAACATGTTAGATGTTCGTTACAAAACAAATAAAAGTACACAAATACATATGATAATGACAGTGAAATGAAGATGTAAGTTATCACTTGAACAATAACAGCTGACTGTACTGTTTATAATAATAGAATTAAAGTACAACAATAGTTAGTTTTTTTTTTTGGAAGATGAATCTATTTCTTTTCAGATTGTAAAATCAATTAAAGATAGCTGTTTTTATCTTATTTTGCAAAATTTCTCCACATTTTTCTCCTTTTTTATATACAAGATCAAATTATTCATATACTACTTGTTTTCTGAAATTAGCCTATCATTGATAATAAACGCATAATATATAACTTCAAATCAACTTAGAAACATCTAACTGATTAAAATAAGACGTATAATTTAATCTAATCTTATACATATTTACACATGAACGATTTCTTTGATCCAAATGAAAGAAAACTGCATCAACTTTTAAACGCAGTTAGGTGATTAGTTGAAGTTAGACATTCCCACAGTTGAATGTCTAGTGGTTAGGTGTTCGTGCACAAGATCGATAGACCCTGGGTTCGAATCTCGCGGAGGGGCGAGGTCGTGGATGCGCATTGCTTAGGAGTCCCACAATAGGACGAGACGGCCGTCCAGTGCTTCCAGGTTTTCCATGGTGGTCTAGCTTCAACTGACTCATGATCTTAACCACTGAAATTCATTTAGGAGAGTTAGAAAACCCTGATTACAAACTAATGGTGCATATGGGGTCCAGAATCCCGAGGGGAAAATTGGCATATGAACCAATCGTTGGTCACCAGCTATCATGGGACTTCATCTCCTTACGTTGCTTCACTGCCTTGGGGATTAGACATTTATGTCAAAGGCTCTGGGTGTGGCTCCCTAGGAAAATCACCTGCTTATGTTTTGGCACACAGGTGATATCATAGCCCACATATAAATCGGACGATTTATGTGGCGCATATCTATTTGGTGCCTCCTTGTACCAATGTTTATGTGTTTATATAAATAAATGAGAAGAATCGAACGGAGTCAAGGAATATAAGCTAATAGTCTTTGAATATTGTTTTCTCTTCAGTAATTTGAACATTAATTTTTATTTAGATTTGGTTAGATCATTGTATGAATAGTGTACTAAATATTTGTTGAATCAATCAGTTAATGTATTTCATTATACCGGCTATCATAAGGATAGTTGATTTGAAAGTTGACAAAATTAAGAATTCTCAATTAGAAAAACATTTTATTTAGAGAAGATTTATTTCATTTAATTAGCTTTTCATTATGGTTTTATAAATAAATTTATTCTTGTGTGGAGTTGTGGACTCTGAGATATCCTACACAATTTTGGTGGAGTTTTGTTCTCTGAGCTGGATGGTTTGGTCGTGGAGCTTTTATTATCCTATTGAACAACATTTCGATTGTTTATTGTTAACCTGTCATTGTCTACCTTTTTTTTATTTTGATTGTATCTCCCAATCGAGGTCGACAAAACAAGTTGTGAATGATATGTAGAAAAATTCGAACAATTTACTTCTATCTGAAGTTTGTACTGGTGATGTTGTTCAGAAGAACAACGAAAGCTTCATGACTAAAACATCTAGCTCAAAGAAAAATACTCTACCAAAATCATCCACCTGATCTATGAATCTCCCCCACCATCTCAAAGTCCTAC